CCATCAAGATATTCTTCAGCAGCCTGAGCTCGGTGTGATTGCGCATTGTCATCCATCAGAAATTCAGGATTAATAGCAGTGGCACATGAGAGGACATATTGATCAAGGGTCTCATGTCGTTATCTCACACTGGTTCAAAGTTCCTCCATGGAACAAATGCAGATCAGAGTGAGAGACACGAACCCAGACCATTATTCTACCACTTCCCGTAACTGTGTCTTTGCACGATGTGGCCTTATGCATTGTTCCCTCAATCAGCTGATAACCTGAATCACTCTCCATTGTGAATCTGGACTTGTCTGTGAAGAGAACAGATTTCCATTGTTGACTGGTCTAGGAGATTGCTTTCATGCCCAACATAAACGGGTACCTCTGTGTCCTCGGGTCAAGGGAACACAAACACATGGTTGTCTTGCATACAGACCTGTAATATGCAGGTGTCTGCATGCCATAGTATCTGAGATTCTTGTTCCTCTTGACACTAAATGATCTGCCATGAGCTGAGGCACAGTAATGTTGCTCCTCCTTCGGGCTGAAAGAGCTAAATAACGGTCACCCGCATGTGTTGTAACTTTTAGCTTGCCTGAAACATGTCTTCTAGGCACAGAATTCTCAGATTCAAAGTCATTCCATAGTTGGTGGACCACACTACAAAAGACATTGAGATGTCTAGCAGATCAGCTTGTGGCATCCCCACTTCCATCCATCTGATCGACTGCCACCTCAATGAATTGGGCAAGCGACTTCTTCTGCGTATTGTCAACAAAATTGCTAATAACAATTGAAGGTCAAAACTTGTTTTGTTTTTTATCCAATTCTAATGTAAGTATTCATTTCTATAAAAGTGTTTGCTATTCTTTTTGCATAGTTTAATTTCATTACCATCATGCATGTAAACTGTGAATTTAATTTTGATAATGGTGAGCTTTGAAAAACATGTTGTTCCTTAACTTTTGGAGAGCAATGTAGTATTATAGAAATCTGTAGAGCATTTATTAAGACTTGATTAATGTTCAATAGGTAAATATTTGTATTTAATTTAAGTTGATAGATTTCTTCCTTGCAATATTTACTTAATATTAGATGTGAAGTTAAATTGAAGATAATTAAAATTTTAAGTGATTGTGTTATGTTCAAGCTTGAAATTTGACAGGTTGTTAAAATTCAGTATTCACAAAAATGAAATGAAGAAGGCTGAGTTTAAATAATGGATGTTTGTATTGTGTAGACAGCTAGAAAGACATTTTCTGGCTCATCTATTTCTGGAAATCAAATTACTCAATTTAAGTAATCTGTTTATTCCTTTTTTTTATTATTATTATATGGATGAGACAGTTTTTTTCCCCCATTTGTCAAGTATTGGAATTGGAAGATAAATACTATTTTTCACTGCAGTTAATAGCAGCTCATTGCCCTATTGTTGGAGATGTATAGAAATTCATCAATGCAAAGGACAGGAAAAGAAATTTAATTAAAGACATGTATCTAAAATTTCCAAGGAAACTGGGTTATGGTGATGATGGTAATTCACTACCGCATAAAAAGTACATGCCAGGATTCCACTTGAGAACATCCCATATTGGAACCTTCCTTGATGTGACTGCTTGGAAAGTACCACTGTCTCATTTGTTGTTATGCAATCTGGTGAGGTGATGCGCAGCAACCTTCTCTTTCTGATGGTGGTAAGTCAGAAACATAGTCACTGGAAGTACCCTAAGGAATAGTAATGAAAGGTTTGTTCTAATTTAGGACCTGCCAGAAAGATATTACTGGAACTGCATCAACATAGGTACATCAGGCATCAGTTAAGGTGCATATTTAGTGGCCCCCAAAAAACAGTTCAAATGCATTACATCCCAGTGATTTTTTTTTTTTTTTTTTTTCAAATTTTCGTTATGTCACAGAATAATAAGTTAGAATGTGCTTTTGGCCAGTGTACACCCCATTTTTAAAGGTCAAGGTTTCCAAATTTTTTTTAGAATTGACTTAAGAATGAGTTTTTCATATGACAATCAACATGGAACCCCCCTTTTTTTGCAAATTTAGTGCCAGCAGATTGATAACTCTTTTTTGGACCAATGTCATCTACAGAAAATACAAATGTCCTAAAGAACACTTATAAGCTCCCTTTGCAGAAGCCAAGCTTAAAAAATTAAAATAAAGGAAAAATCAAAGATAATCATGTGAAAACATATTTAACCCTTCGACGGCCGGGATCACCTTTTTTATCAGTTTTTGTCTCAAAGATGAAAGCTGCAAAAATTCTATTTAAAATACATACAATTACACCTTTTAGTTTTCTAAATGTATAGCAGAGGGCAGCAGTAGTATTCATTCATGGAAATAATGAAAAAGAAATTCTTTGCAGGTCTAATTTAAGTAGTTTTTTTTTTTTTTTTTTTTTTTTTAAATTTCTTATGCAGTCATCAACAACTTTTGTCATTAGAATGAATATTTTTATCTGAAAGTTTTTTTTTCTAATAAAAGTTATTATTTAAATTCATATATATATTAATTAAAAAAGGTTGAAATTAAAAGATGAGACAAATACATTCCACTGCGCATGTAGGAAATGCTGCTACTAGGTCGCAGCACTGTTCAAAATTTTTTTAAATTCAAGTATCATGTTCATTTCATATATAGATAATGAAAATGTTTATATCTTAATAATTTGCAGTAATGTTAAAACTTGAAAAAGATTTGTATTTTTTCCGAAAGAAATGAAAATATAACCCTGTAACATGAAATGTCATTGAATACTAAATGGATATGTGAGTTTGATTTACCATAGAAAAACATCCTAAGAGGAGGAAAGAGAAAATAAACACGACAGCTTTCTTAATATCCTCCTTTTCAAACTTGTAGCAAATAAAGTACTGGAGCGAAAATCTTCTGTTTCAAATATATTATGAAATCATTAAATAATATTTAAAAAGTCATACAGAGAGTGATTTTTTTAATTACGTAATTATTTAAATTTTGTTAATATGATCAATGTTTTCTAAATAATTGCTCAAAAACGTTTTCTATATCTTTCATTTTCATTTGGTTGGTAAAACTTGCACTTTGTATGAGCATGTTAGGAGAATTTAAACTCATGCAAAGATGCCATTTTATTGCTCTACATGCGTGGTGGGACAAGTGGCACTTCATCACGAATTACCCTAAAGGTTTACCTTTTTTTTTGCATGAAATAACATTGTATAAGGGGCTAATTATCTATGTGTAAAGTTATTTTTCCTAAAAAAATTAATTTTTTTATGCACCGAACCTGAAAGGGTTAAATGCTATTTATGATAATTCCTAAACTATTCATGTGGAATGAACCAATTTCCTTGTATGAAGGCATCCTTCTTCATAGGCAGGATAGCCCGCATGTGCTTTGACATAATCCAAATTATCCAATTAAGTTCTGAACTAATTGAATTAAATATAAAATTTCAAATGTAGCAAAAAAAAATTTTTTTTAGGAATACTGTGCATAAATTTCACCCAGAAAAATGATTAATTCTATTTTTAAATGCCAAAAGTATTTGTGAAAGCTCTTAAAAACAAAGTTTGCTTAAAACCTTGCTACTGCACATTTACAAAGATCCCAAGATCAGCATTAAAATTTAAGAAATTAATTTTAACATTTTAGAATATTAATTATATTAAGCATTAGATCCAAAATAAGTAATTAAAGCAAAACCTTGCCAGAAGTTTAGAACAAAATTAATTATTATTCAATAAATTGTATATTGCCAAGTTTATCTGGCAAATTGTATTCATATTAATTGTGAATTTTACATTATACAATATAAAATATATTAATAAAGATATAATAAAGATGCATGTAATCGAAACACTTTAAAACTTGACAACACATTTGTAAACAAATTTATACATGGCAACAGATTTTAAGAAATGTACTTCAAAACACATCTTACTAAGGTGAGTGTTGACTGAAAAAATGTTCAAACTGAGGTTAGTTTATATGCTCTATAAAATTGGTTAGTTTATATGCTCTATAAAATTACTACTACTATATCACCTTTACCATAAAAATGTAATTAAATTAGAAATTATTCCATTGGGTTTATGCATTCTATAAGCAAAATATATCTGGGGAACATACAGTGAGAAATGTTTAGTGCATGAATTATAATGCATTGAATATCAGTAACAAGTGGATTTTAGTTTATTCATTATAATGTGCTGAACGTCAGTGACAAGTGGATGTGAAAGCTATTTTAATATGCAAAGTATCCAAAAATAAAGCCATCAAATGTATTCAGTGACAGAAAGCAAGAAATATCCTGTGAGTATAAAGTGGAAAAGCATAGTTTTGTAACTTACGAGATGTGAATATTGATGATGAGAAGATGTGAAAGGCTGTCAGCCTATATTGTGGATTTCACAGTGCCCTCAATAAGCAATCAGAATTTGAAAAATTCTGGATGTTGAAGAAATGCTAGAGTTTGGCACAGAACACGCATTCACCAAAGGATGTAAAAAGAGTTTACTTTGTTCCATTTTTTTAAAATAATATTTAGATCCCATACCTCACTGTGTCACCCACTGTATATTTATAGAACATCTTTCACTTGTGTTTGGAATAAAATGTGCTCCTAGCATTGACAACTTAATTCTGTGTAACTACTGAATATTAAATTAACATTTTAATGTGTCATAATAATTAAGCTGTGTAAAGGAAATGAATGAAAGCATTTGAGAAATGAGATACAGTAGAAAAATGTAAAGGATAAGCATACATTATTTTTTATTCAAGAGGGAAGGATAATCTTAATTTAATGAAATAAAAGTAATCAAATCATAAGAGGTTTTTAAGGGTTAAAATTTTATGCTACATAGTTAAAAATTTCTGCAGTTTGATTATCATTTAATTTTTTAAACAATGTTGTTCAGTTTTTTTAGTGATGCAAGGTTTCACCACTGTAATCTTAGTGCAAATTCGTACGAGCTAGTAATTAAAGTATGTATAAATTATTTCTTTTCAGATTGTAAGGCTGATGGAAAATCCTGCAAACCGTTGTGAAATTATCCCTTCGTATTATTTAATAACAGTTTTACCTCAGCCTTTAGAAGATGATACTTTGGAACAAAAAGTTGAAGCTGTTCTAGATACAGAATTGCCTAAGTCATACTTAAAAATAATGGATTTTGCATCTTTGGATAATTTCATATCTACACATGGACCATGTACAGAAATTGAATGTGAGTTTATGCATTTATTTACAAAACACTTTTTTTACAAAGCACATCATTTTAGCACTTTTTTTCCCATTCCATTGTCTTGGGGAGAGAGTTCAAGTCTATGGCATTTGTTTGACAGTAGGTCTTGCCTTTGTTCATATTGTTAAAGCCAAATTAGCAGTGATTTTATTCAGTACATTTTAAAAAACTGAAGTAATTCCTTCAACAAAGATTTAAAATACGGGAGTTATAACAAAAAACTTAAATTTTTATTTAAATCGGAAACTTTTCTTCTTTTAAACCAAAAAAACATTGATTGTCAAAGTAATCCATAGTCTTCAAAATCTCTAAATTTAATGAGTTTTAATTAACTTTTAACAAAAGAAATTTTTTTTATTATCTGCACCCCTAGTTTCAACATTTGCTAGAATTGGTGTGTTTTTAATGTATTTTCGATTATAGATGCAACAATAGCCACAGGCATTCTGCATATGTACATATAGAATTAATGTTGTGGAAAGTTCAACAAGTAGAAAATTTTGTATTTTTAAAGTTCTCTTCCATTCTTTCTTTTTGGTTTGTTTAAGAGAATAAATTATTTTTTCATATGTATTTAGCTTCATCATCAATATGAATCCATGTTGAACTCCCAGCATTCAACTGTCTTCGCTATCAGGCTACAGTTGGGGCCCAATTTATTCGACTCATGTTCTGTTACATAAAATGTAACCTATTTTTTGAGTATTTATTAAAAGTAATGCATGTTATTTTCATTCAATTTATATTTATACTTATTTCTTACATAAAAATTCTGATGTATGCCAAATTAATGTAAATTACTCTACTAAAATATAGTGAATGCACAGATAATGTTTTCATGTACTAAAAAAGAAAAATATTAAAAATTTATATGAGTGTTTATGCACATCATTTTAAAAACATGCATTTGGCCTCTAATTAAATATGTAAATATTAATTTAATTATTTATCAATGTATTTGGAAATGAAAGATTTATTCATTCATAAACGCCTCTGAATGTTTTTGTGAATAAATTTAATTTTTAAATATATCTAAATACACATGGCTACTATAAAAGATTTATTTATTTTCAAAATGCTATTTATTCAAAAGTATTACATATACATATAATGAGTAATGTATGAAAATAATTGTAAACTCGGCAAGTTTTGTGTACGCTGTACAAATGCTCCATGTGTGCTGCCTGAGTTAAATATCAAGGTGGTAGTTCAACTCGTTCATATATTTTATAGCATCATCCTGTCAATGATCATGCAGCATTAATTCATTCCTTGAGGTTTTCTAATAATTTTAGTAGTGGGGCTACATAAACAAGGTTCTTAATGTGACCCAGAGAAAGAAGTCAAAGCATTAAATTAGGTGACTTGTGGGCCTAAATGAAATCAAATTGCTTTAAAACGTAATTGGCGGAAACTTCTGAAAACATTTCATTCAAATTAAACCTAAGAGTTTGGTATTTAATTCCACTCAGAGTGAAATGTAATTGAAAAATGTATTCTTTCACATAGATAGGACTCTGAAATATTGTTGAAAGTAGATACATTTATACTTATATTTACTACATAATTACAAAATGTTTATCTCTGAACATGTCAAAATCTATAGACCTTAATGGTAAATCATTGAATGTTTTGATATAAAAGGGGTGTGTATCATTGCTTCAAGGAAGCAAATGGCAGAAGCCAATTCGGACCTTTCCTTTTCTCCATAGTAAAGTGAGCCAAGCATTTCTTTTTCAATGAGTTAGCGATTTTTCATGATGTTATAGATAATCAGAAAGCACGTAAATGTTAATTGACAGACCTGGTAAGGAAAATTAACTAAAAGATGTAGTTTGTTCTTTGTAGGCATTTTATCCATGAAATTTTCAGTGTACTCATCATTTAAATGTTAAACTTGTTTTTTCCTAAAAGGATGTTAAAGTAATAATTTTATTATACTGCTAATGAAGCCCTTTTACAAAAATTTTACTGATGATTTTTTATACAATACAAAGACCGAAATCCAGACTACCAGGAACCAGTCTTCCCCCCCCCTTAAAAAGTCTAGAAATGAAGAATATAATATTTAGGTATGCAAACAGATGTACTGTAGTGGTGATTTTTTTCCCTCTGACTAACTGAATTTGTGTAGACCTACTATCCTCCTAAAAAAATATTATTATTGTATAAAAAGTTAAATCGGGTAGAGGAAATAATAAAACGATGGGGAAATAAAGGTGAGATATTTTTTTGCTACAAAATTCTTTTCAGAATGTAACTGCAATTAGTCAGCTGTAAATCTAGAAATTAGTTTTATATTAGCAAAATTCCCCCAAAATTGAAATTTACATGAAAATGCCATATAATAAAATTTTGAATAGTAAAGTTTTCTGAAATATGAAATGTTAAACAAGAAATAAAAATGCTATTAAACCAGAAATGAATTGAAAGGCTTTATTTGAAATATTTATGTTTAAAAACTTGTAGATAACATCAAAATAATTGCAGATTTAATTATTAGAATTTATCAAATTCTAATCTTTTTTTTTCTCTCCTCTCCCTTGGATTAAGTACTGTTATTTTAATTTGGTATGTTTACTCATGAATGAATTCTATTTTATCTCTTCAGAGAACTAAAATTTGTAATTATAAAATGATAATTTATCATATCTGCCAAGTTTTCAACTAATGCAAATATTTTGTTCTACAGAAGATCCTTTGTCTTTGAAGTGTGTCACTACTCAGCACCTCTAATTAAATATATGGAGAATTGAAAAATAGAGATAATCTAATGATGGCGATATGAAAGAGCCATACATACATTTGGAGGATTTTAATGAACTATATACGTCGTAATGTTTGAAACAGGACTTATTTAAAATAATAAAAATCGTAGCTTTTTAGGTTTACTTCTAAAATCCACCCTTCTCTGAGAACCATGTTGACAAACTTTCATTAAATTGCAATTCTCTTTATTCACCTATAGTCTTAATTACTTGCTCAAACATTACTTTGACCTCACAGTGGCATCTCTTACTCACTTTTATCTTAATTTTCATGTTTGTGTTTACTATATTTTCTTGAAGCAGTACATCAATAAGGTCTTGGTCTGATAAAATTCTAACCTTTATTACTGTTTTCTTTTTCTATTCACAGTTCTATGCTTTCTTCACTTATAATTTCAAATCCTTGCTACCAAAAATAATTTCAATTCTGATATTATTACTTCTTCATTGATAAAATTCTTCCTGCTTACTTTGTTAAAAAATCAGTTTTGTTTCAACCGTGAATTAGCATTTTTATCTTCACTGTGTACCTTAACAATAATATTCATGTATATTTGGCATGAAAAATCGAGAGTTTATTTACTTCCTTTTACGAAGTAAAAAGGAAATATTGTAATCGTGAAAAGTTTCAGGAAGCATATTTCAACGAAAATATCCATTTTGACCGCTTTTGATTGCAGTTTAGCAGTGTTTTTGCTTGATATCTGTACGTAAGGACTGAATAAAAAAACTCTTTTCCTACTAAAAAAATGTATACAAACTGCTTTAAAATGTAAGTTCTGAAAGAGAATGTCTTTCATGGCGTACTGTACGAACGTACATACGTATGTACGCACGTATCTCGCATAACTCAAAAACGAGTTAGTCCTCAGAACGTTGGAAATTTTGTATATAGGACTACTGTTAACATGTTATTGGATGTGTCCTTGTATTTTGGTTTGCAATCAGCCGAACCAAGGTATAAATATTGGATGTTTAGTATGTATATCCACTCGTTTTCGTTACCCCCCCGGCTGCAACAAGTCGATCTCTATTTCTTTACTCTTATATGTTGATAAATTGTACGATTTTTTGCTTTAAAAATGATTGAATTATGTGGTTTCTTATCTTCCGGTTAAGGTTTTTATGCCTTTAGTAAATCTGTATGCAATATTTTTAGAATTATCAACAATTTAAAGTTGTTTTAAGTGCCGCTAAGCCTAATATTTTTTTTGATGGCGGTCATTGCTTGTTTACATTTGAAACAGCAGAGTAGTGGATTTGTTGCCAATCTAGAGAAACATAGCTTCGTAACAACAAAGATAATGCCTTCATTTATTATTGCGAATTAAATCAAGCTTAATCCTTTCTAGAATTTTTTCGAGGAAATAAGTGTGTAAGATTTACTTCGTAATTTTTAATACAGATATTTTGAGTTTTTATGTATTTTTGCCTTGTCGCAAAGTGAGAACTGAATTAATTGAATGAGAAGTACTCAATCGTCTGTGAAAACTGTTTGTTTCTTTTTTTTTCTTTTGTTTGCTTAATTTCTTTTATACATCGTTCTAGCTTATATTATCATTATAGTGTTTGAATAGAAAATGTGGCAACAATTAGATAATTCTTTAAATTATATAAATTTTGTGCTATTAATATATATGCTTTAAATAATATAAATTTTATGCATTCTGAGTTATAAAATGAACGAAATATAATACTATTAAGTGAACCTAGTGCCAGAGTGTTGCTATGGTAAAAAAATAGAGTGAATTTTAAAGACTGCATTTATTCTATTGTGGTTTATGCGCAGTCGACGAAGTAGATTTAATTCAATCCAACAAGTTTAAACCAAATGCCAGAAAAAATGCATGTAATTTAATATTACATACAAGGAAGTCATGTGGTGTACACATCAGATTTTTTTTTAAATGCAATAACAATAATAATGCAATAAGAATCACCTGTAAAATAATCAGTCTAAGAATTTTTTTAAGACATAATGCATAGATAATTGAGAGTGGCTGTCTGTTAGTTATTTTCTCATTATAATTAATTATATACAGTAAACCCTTGCCAAATGTGAGGGTTACATCACCAATAGATTGTGCATATGGCTAAATCATGTTCCTCCAAAGATATGTTTTTGGGGAAAAAAACACTAGGCATAGTTCAAATTAAGAAAGTATGTATAATTAAAAAGGGGGAAATGAAACAAATGTTAATTGAAAGCATTTCTGATACTGCTTAATAAGTAGGTACAGGATACAATTATTTTTTAAATAGCTGTTGATTTTTGGTTGAGACAGTGTCTGATACCGCTCGTTAAATGTTTCTTAGTAAGGAATGCAAAGTTTTTCAGTACTTGCCGTAAAGGTTCTTTCTTCATTTGGGTTAATCTCCATTACAAAATCCCATAGCTCCTGTGCCTTTTTTAATAACTCATATAACATCTTGTATGTTAAAGTCTTTTCATTTATCGTTTCATTATCATCACTCTCAACTGATTCTCCTTCTTGTGAAAACCTTTCCTCTCGAATTGCTTTTGCAATTTGTACATCTTTTGTGGTTTTATTTTCAATTGATGGAAATTTTCTTTATTGTTGACGACTTCTGGCCAGAGCTGATGCCGAGCATTCATTGTTGATGAATTCATTTGTTCCCATGTGAGTTTAATCATTTCTATGCAGTGTCTTATGTTGAATTATGCCCAAATGCTGTTAATGTATCATCTTTTTCTTTATCTAGTGCTTTATTGGCAGAGATTTGAGCATGCCTGACATAATAGGCTTTGAATATTTTTATAATTTCTTGATCCATTGGTTGGATTAAGGAAGTGGTGCTTGAAGTGGTAGAAAAAAAAACCTCTTCATTTGGATGCAATGTTGCGAGGGCGTCAGCACCATGTTCTGGAGCATTATTGAGAATCAGGAGAATTTTAAAGCTCAGCTTTAGCTTTTTTAAGTGCTGTCTGATTTCTTTAATGAATGAATTTTCAAACCAGTCAATTAAAGAGTACTTTTGTTTCCAAGCTTTTCTATTTTGTTTCGGCAGAGCTGTCAATTGCTAAAATTTTTTTCTCTGCAATGTGTAAGGAGTTTTAAAATGGTAAATGAGCAGAGTTAAGCTTGATGAAACTTGCACTTGAAGTTGCCTGATGCACTTCCACCCACCCCCCCAAAAAAAAGACTATCCTTAAAAGCTTTAAAACCTGGGGCAACCTTTTGTGCTTTTGTAATGTAGGTTTTTTTATCCCATTTACTTATAAAATAGGCCTGTCTCATCTGCATTAAAAATTTGATGTGGAGCATAACCATTATCTTCAACAATTGAGGTTTTGATGTCTGCATTTTTTTTTTTTTTTTTTTTTTTTTTTAATTTTAATCTACAGAGCCAGCTTCTCTCTGAGGCTTTTGTGCACATTATACTTAAAGTTCTCAGGCTTATCTCTGCTTGCTTGAAAGTCAATTTTCTTGAAGATTGGCCATCTTATATTTAAAACAAAAGAAGACAAACCTAAAACTTTGTTTCGAGTACCAGCACCATCCAAAACAGAGTCTTTTTTGTTTACTTGATTCTCAATCCAAGCTCTTAACATTTTCTCCAGCTTTACCAATTGAGATATTCTTGAAACTTGACCAAAGCAACCTTTGCTGAAGTATCCACCTGAAGCTTTGATACTAGACTGAATTTTCTCTTCATTCTCCCGTTTTGTTTTTACACTTGATTCAATTATAGCTAGTTCCTTTGCAAGCAATGAAACGCTTACAACATTTTTCAGTTTATTTAAAATTTCAGTTTTCTGAGATAATGCCAAAACTATATGTTTTTTGGTGCTTTATCATTTTCATTCTTCCTTTTAGATGTCATATTGAATTTTTTAAATTAAAAATTATACAGATGCAAAAGCATAAGATTATAAACATTTATGAATATATAAGTGACTAGTTTGCTGTGATTGCAGCTCTGATAATGTGAGTGAAGTTAAAGCAACTCAGCCTGAGCAAACTGAGCTATCCGGTAGCACTGAGCAGTGCTATTATATGTGCATGTGGGTGTTGTATTATAAAACGCAAGGTTGAGTTTTGTGATGTCACTTATAGAAATGAGTGAAATGAAGACCCTAAAAAAAATAGTTACCTTTATCTTATTTAGCTTATTGAAAAGCAGTGTGTTGACACTGCCTAAAATAAAATACTTTTACGTTCTATGTGCTATCGAGTGGCCCATTCAGAAGAGCGTAAGGTATTTAATTTTCAAATTTATTCTATCTATTATTGATTGACAAGCCATGCGATTTAAATGCTATGAACATGGTTTCTATGACTACTTTTTTTACTGATTGATTTAAATAAAAATTCATTTAAATCACAAGATGTCTAATTAGGAATATTAAATATTGTAATGAAATTACATTAGCTGCACTCATTAAAATCATTACATATTTTTCCTTTTTTTATAATTACTATTTTAGGCAGCTACACCGATTTATTTAAAATAAAAAGAAAAAATCATAATATGTGTGTGTATGTATATATATATATGTAATAAAACTGCAGTTTGATGACACAACATGAATGATTTGATTATGAATGTGGCACAAATTTGCTTTTCATGAATTGCTGATGGTTGTATGGAGAGGTGCTAATTCCCTTTGATCAGTTGGGATCTTTCTATAGAATCAGCAATAATTCTTTATTTTTGCATTTTATTTTGCAATTCTGGTTTAATTATTTACAAATTCCAATTAATAATTTCCACAATAGTACACATTTGTTTTCTTAATTTCACTTCACATTTCATAGGAGATAATTTTCATTTATATATGCTCTGTTGAATTTTATTCTTTGTAGCAGTAGTGTGGGATTTTCCTTAGTCCATTTTAGATAAGTTTTAAAATTAATTAATTTTAAAGTTTTCTTCTTGTTTTTCTTTTGAAATATATATATAGAGAGAGAGAGAGAGAAAACTCAGAAGCAATGACCAAGGAAATTGGAGGCAAGACAGATTAAATCTTCAGTTTTATTTTGACAACTTGTTGCGGCTACACACAAGTCGGCACATTAAATGTGCCTGTTCCAAAGGGCTTACATTTTTGATAATTTTGTAGCAAGAAAGAAGCAGCAGACAGACTGCAGTCCAGATAAGGCAAAGCGTGGAAAGCAAGTGCGTAACGTTCAAGATGAAATCTTAAGTCAGACTTAGTTTTGGTTCTCAAAGCATACTGATTGGATGGTTAATATTGCTGTAAAATTATTATTGGCTGTGAAGAGTTTTAGTTCCATTTATATCATCAGAATTATGTAAGAATCATATGACATAGAGTTTTTTCGAAATGACGCATTGCAAATAGATGTTGCTATTTTTAGAATAGAGAAGTGAAATTAATTTATGCTGCTAATTTAATCTTTTACATATCGTGCTGGGCCCATAACCCAGAGGTCCATGGATCAAAACCACGCTCTGCTACCAAAAATTAATATAATAAAAGCAAAGAAAAAGACCAAGCACTGTTGATGCGTAGTTATCCTATTGAAGAGGACCTATTCTGATTGTGTCGTAAGCTAATGTGTTGACTTCGTAAATAAAGCTAGGCAGTTGAGGCGATTTTAATTCCATTTTTATTTCCAATTGACATTATGTGTCCACAGATCACTTGGCACCCTAGTCGTGCCTGTTCAAGAACATTTACATTTTTGATATTATTTTTTATTTATATGTGCTTATGTTTTTGTGATTGCCAAACTGGCTGCAGGTGAGAGAAATTCACATCATTTTATACTTTAATAGGAAGCAGCATAGCGAAATTGCGTCCAAGCACAGCACAGACAGAAGCTGGAGTGCATAGTTATGAAAGATGGAAGCATGCGAAGAGAAAAGTTTGGTTTACAAAGTAGTTTCAGTTGCCAATTATTACGTCATCAGTGCTGCGCTATGGCCATAGAATGATCTAGAAATAACGCAATCCAGAGAAGTTATTGCGATGTTAAGAATAGAGAGGGAGAATTAATGTTTTACCATTAGTTTAAATTATAATTTTGATTCACATATTTTTTAACTTACATATGTGTCTTCATGTGTGTGGTGTGCATGTGTAGTATAGCTGGTATAATTTAGGAATGCAATTGTCAGTTCATTCGTTCCACCCTTTTTGGCATTAAACTGTGAGTTTTGAAACACAGTTAATGGTGTTGTTTATATGCTGTCCTCTAATGAAACGTATGATTTCATTGCTTCTTTTTGATTTTTTAAAGAAGAAAATTTGAATTTTATTGGTTTGTTTCTGCATGAGGTATGGTATTTACTTCAACATTCACATGCTGATTGTAAATCCATTATAGTCCATTTTATTTTACTTTATGTTTAAAAATTTTCTATTTTGGCTTTTATTTTTTATTCATATGTGTTTATGTTTTTGTGATTGCCAAACTGGCTGCAGGTGAGAGAAAATCACATCATTTTATACTTTCTTTTATATATTCATAAAAAAATTTGAACAGTAATAAAGTAATTTTGTTAATACTGCTGTTTGCATACATTTTTGAGATTATCTAAATGTGTTGAAGAATCAAAAGGTGTGCGTGGTTAAAATGGCGTTAAAATAAAATAAAATATTCTAGCTTGACATGCTGAAAATCGTATTTAAATATTAGTAAGTGAAGAACTTTCACAATATTTCAATTTCAGCTGCTGCGAATGCTCCTAACTTACTAAGGCTTAAATGTGGTTTTTTATTATGTCACTTAAGACTAGTATTTTGTTTTATTAATGTAAATGATTTATAAATATACAGAAATTTATTTTGACCTTTCTTTTTTGCAGATGAACAGCAAGGTGGTAGCAAGAAAAGAAAGGTAATTTCTGTTCATAATTATTGATTTTAATAGATTGCTGGTAAATAATATTTTATAGATATTAGTGTGTATAATGGCATTTTATATATGCCAATTTGATATTCTCCATAGATGGTTACAGTTCAAAGTGATACAGGCATAAAGAAAGTGAAATATACTGGCTTTTTCATCTCAGAATTAGCCCATATTGTTTCGATGTGTGATGAGCGTATTCCATTTTCTACATTATGTAGAGAGGTATAGTAATTTAAATCCATTTAAGTTAATGTTTTTCAGTATCTGTTTCAGTGTTTTCATGTATTTTGATGCATTTGTGAGGTTTGCAGCATTTCTAAATGTGAAACTATTTTTAAAATTCTGGAAGTAATGTTCTCTTTCTCAAATCTGTTTTTTTTTTACATTTTTCAGTTGAACAAGAAGGATATTTGCCACAATGGTATTCAAATTGAAGCATATGGGTCAAATTATCAGGTTAAAATTGTTCAGTAAGTAATTTCTGTGCATTATTGATGTTAAAGAATATATGTTTTTTAAATATCTCTGTCTAGCTTTCATACAACTGTTTCTGTGTTTTCAGAATGCCTACTCGTGAAGGAAGTGATATAGAAACATTTGCTGCATTACATTCAGCTCTGTTAAGTTGTACAATACGTTTGCAGGGCAAAGGATCTCGAACATGGCTGGTTGAGGTAATTTTTTTATTTTCAATTTATAATTTTTGGGGGTAGGTTTATATTTTTATATAGATAAAACTCAGAATAGTCATCCTTTAGTTTGCAGGAGATGTTGTGAAGTCTTCTGATTAAATTTTAATTTCATGGTAGCTTGGAAGAAGTTACATGTAAAAAATAAAATTATTTGTACTGTATAATATCCAAAATCCAGAACTCAGGATCACTAGAGGGGGAAATGCCTTTACGGAGTCTCAAAATGGAGAATATAATGCTCAATAAAAAGTGAGTGCACTGCAAAAATGATTTTTTCTTCAGACTAAGATTCCTGCATGTAATTTTCAAACACTTACTGGCTATGGAATCACACCCTGGTTGGTGACAGTACATTGATTGAGATTGGCCACGATCACACTTTTAGCCCTTGTAGTAGCATTTTTCTGTCTAACCTGAACAATAAGTGATGTATCATAACATATTTTTTTTAAGTAGGATGCTACTGATAGTGGTGTTCTTTTGGGGGTATAGTAGGGAAGGAAGGAGAAAGGCTTAAATTTCCAATAATTTAAATTCTGTTTAACATAGTAAATCGTGCTTTTCCTTATTTATCTAATTTGATCCAGCTATTATTACAGCTATTTTATGAAAATTAAAATTTAATTTTTAATTATGTTGAAAAGTGTCTAATTCTGGAGTAGCAACATAATCTGCAAAGTGAAAGCATGTTTTGATATCGCTCAAGCAAAATGTGAAACACATATCCCCCCCCCAAAAAAATGAGTAGAGGCGTATCCATTTCAAAATTATGTAAGGAGTATGGTTTTAGAAAGGCAATAGTATATGACCTAAAAAAGCAGTTTTTTAAATTTGTTGTATATTCTGGCACCTTACTTGCAATGAATAATAGAAGAATCATTTATTATGCTAAAAGAGACCATCATCACAAAGTGATGATTGAATGGTTGAGATAGCATCACAGCAAAATATATTTGGAGAAGTAGACTTAGCCCCCCCCCTCCAAAAAAAAGTGAAACAGCTTAAACAAGTTACATTGAAAAAAAGAGAGAGGGAGAGCAAAATCTGTAAGATAGCTAGGTAGTCTTTTTGAAACTTGTATATATCATTTTAAAGAGAATTTATTACTGAATTCAATACAAAACACAAAATTCATTATTTGCAATACAATAAAAGGTATATGTATTTAATATAATAAAAAACACAGTTATGAAGTGTTTTGTATGTCTAGCTTTTCTGGCCAATCACTGTTTCTTGTTCTGAGAACCAATCAAATTTAGTAACTGCCAGTAGACTGACATCATGTTTACACTTGAAACAATTCATTATTTTGCTTTGTTCTGTAAGGAGGACCTGTTTCTTCAACACTGCACTTACAAGTAGGAATTTTTTGTAAAACTTTTTAATATTTAGTCAAGAAGCAATGACATCAATAAAGAGTAGATTGGACACCTAGAAAGAGATGTAATATTATTGTGTTTACGAAAGTGGTCTTCCTATGCTGAAATTCCAAGACAGTTGGGTGGTTCAGTGACTACATCTGGAGTCCGAAGTTTTGTTTATGATATCAGGAGAACAAATTCAATAAAAACAAAGAAGGAAATGCCAAAAGGTGCACCACATCTATTGATGACAGAATAAAAAGGCTATTTCTCTAAGATAGAAAAATGTCATCAGCGGCCATCAGAAGTGATCTGAATGATCTGGTTGTTTCTGTCATTCAGAACAATCAGGAAAGATTACAAGTTTGACTGAGAGTAGAATTCCACAAAAAAGCCTTATCTTAATTTTCACTAACGAGGGAAAAGACTACTCTGGCAAAGGAACACATTAATTGGCAGATGATCATGGTCACAATTATATGGAGTGATGAAACTAAGATAATCGTTATTCGGTAGTGATGGGCAAAAATATGTAAGAAGTAGAATAGGAGAGAGCTACATCCTGACTGCATTCAAGCAACTGTGAAGAACCCAGTTAGTGTTATGATTGGTCATCATGTCAGCAGATTGTATTGTCGCCTTCATTCATCGTGGACACTGAATGCCAGAAAAATAGATTGACACTATTCTAGAACCAAACTTCTACTTCCATCAGAGATCTCTTTCCCCACATGCTCGTTTATTTTTCAGGATTCTGCTCCTTGCCACAACGCCCAAAATATCGAAAACAACAACAAAAAGCATTAAAAATTAACTAACCTATTTGATGTCATGGCCAGGAAACAGTCCTGACCTCAATCCTATCGAAACTTTGTGCATGTTTGAAAACCTTGTCCGAATGAAGCGCCCTCAAATAAAGGTAACTAATGAGGCTATAATTTGGTTCCTGGCTCATGTAAACGAAAGAAGAGCTTAAAACTCTTGTCAGCTCAATGAAATTCGATGTGAAGCTGTAATCAAAAATAAGGGTACCCTACTAAGTACTGAAACTCCTGCAATCATCACTATCTAATGTATATCGATAGCTATTATCGTGTACTTTTTTTTTATTGCAAATATTGAATTTGTGCTTTGTAATTGAATTCAGTAATAAAATTCTCTTTAAAATATAAAAAAAAAAAAAAACAAAAAAAAAAAAAAAAAAAAAAAAAAAACATACTCCCCCCCCCATATAAGTTTGCATTTTGTGAAACAATGTTTTCTATAAGCATACAAGTTCAAAAACATAAAATTTCCAAAAGTGTCCACAATTTTGGCCTCCACTGTATATACTTATGTATGGTCGTAAGCTGCTGCCTTTGAACATCAAGACAAATGAGCTATTCTTTAAAACTGAATCCGAAGTTTTCTCTCTTCCTTCAAGCTATTTAGACGTATGAAATATTTCTAAATATACCTTTTAAAATTTTATTTATAGAATTAAAAAATAATTATCATACATGCAACTATAGTATCCAGTTTTAACTATCTATTTCTATAATATAAGTAATGGCATGATGTCATACATTTAGAACTTTGAAATTGTTGTTATGAAGTTGATACAAGGCAGTAGAAGAAAAAACCTTGTTTCATGCATTCGGTATTTCCCTATATCTATATAATCAAAATAGAAATTCAACTGATAGACAGCTGAAAAATGCCCAGTATACCAGAAAAATCTTGAAAGTTAGAAATGAAGAATTAACATGTAAAATTTTCTTCAAAATGGAAAGCAAAATCTGGAACTTATTCTTAACAAGCCAGTGAAGTTAAATTACATATTTTAAAACATGCAAAGAAAAAATTATTGTAATCTTTGTATTCCTTGTCCAGAGTATTTTATTTAGCTGATGTTTAAAATAATTTTTATAAACTAATAGCTTTGTTTTACTCCTTGCCATAAGCTGTTGTTCATTCTTCTCGTTGCACATAACTACTATGCCATCTCTCTTTGGAATTGTAATTGCCCTTCAAAAATGAATGAAAGCAATTTAGAAATTTTAACATTGTACGACATGTTATAATGAATTCTACATTAATTGAACTTCTCTTTTTAATCCAGTAGAATTCTTGGTCTTTCAGTTTTATTTTGAAACATTGCAGTTGTTTATTATGAATGGATGCATGCCATAGAACTTCTGTGAAATGAACAGATTTTTCCAAAAACTTGACATTTCTTTAAAAAATTGTTCTGAATTTTTTGAATGATATAGATGAATATTTCTTATATAAGTTTCTTTTATTTGCTTTGCAGTAATGAGTACAATAAATTTTTATAATAGACTTCATTATTTTATTGTGTTTTTAGTAAATCCATAAAAGTATTCAGTTACTCATTATATAATTTGATAATTAATTCATAATGTTTGAGTGGGAAAATTGATTTGTTTGGTCATGGGGGAATAAAAGTTCCGTGGGAATTTTGCTGAATCTAGACCTAGCATTGGACCCTGAGTATTATGGCATATGGAAACAATTTAATGATAAAGATTTTTATGCCGAGAAGCCAATATTTTTTTACCCAATATTTCTCTCTTCTCCTTTATAATACATATTGTTCCATCCATGTTGAACTAACCTATTTGATGAATTTTTTTAAACTTCAGCCATTGTACAAACATAATCACAACTAAATATGATTTGAATCTCATAGGAAATTCATAAGATATCAGTGCTATGAAATTCTCCTCCTAAAGATTTTGTGCCTTGAAAAGCATATTGGTGGAGAAATGGAATTTACTACACTAAATGCTAATTGACCGCAACAAGAGCATTAAATTGCATTATTGATATGTGTGTATAAGTTAAAGGAGATTATATTTTGTACTACTGTATTTGCTTGAAAATAAGAAACTCCCATTTTTACTGTATTTTTCCCTAAGATTTGATAAGGTTTTATAATCAGGTATTTTAATAAATGAAACAGCAGTATAAGATGAAGGAGTTAAATTATCATGGTATATATAATAATTATGCTGTTTAAGTATGAATAAACAACACAAGTAATTATCATATATATAAATTATATAACTGTCTTTAATTATAGTAGCCACATCAAGCCATTTCAGTTTAGGTCTCTGTACACTTTGCTAATTACTGTACACCTGATATCAGATAAATAATAATTTATCATTAATATTTCCTAATTAATCATTAATATTTTAATTAGGTAGCCTTGCCTTTAGTTCTAATCAGAACCATGCTCTTATCAAACATTCACATGCATTTTTATTTCTTAAAATTTATCCTAACAATTAAGAGGAGTCATATATTTAAGAGAGTTCTTACTTTCAAATACATGTTGTAATGTCAAAAATCTGAATTTACTTCTGGACTATTATTTTTTTTTCAAAACATTTACCATCATTATGTTATTTCACTTTTATTTGTTTTGTAATATAGCTTTATGTTGCATGTACGTTGTGTTTTAATTGTACGTCTTATGATGCTGTTATGTGCAAATGAATTCATTCAGTTTTATTCAAGTTTTTGAGAAACCATTACTTTTAGGCTTATAAGATAATTTTGGATCTCTGAAATGTGTGGAAGTGTATCTCTAAAAATATAAACAGATACATGAGTATATTTCCATAAATGTTAGAAATTTTGTTAATTTATAACAGTTTATCTTTGTTTAGATGAAAGGCTTTGCTTTTATTGTTAAAAAATATTTTATTTGGTTTTTAGTTTGTGTTTTGCAACTGCCCAGTGACAAGCATGTCTTCTAAAGAGCAAGGCCCTCGCCGTCCAGTCTATTATATTTATGACTTTGCTGCAGGCACTTCAAGACAGGTAGCACAGATGGTTGATGACATGCTTCAGGACTGGAATACTATGGGACATTTGTACAAAATAGTGCTTGAATTTGCCAATTGCCTTAAATATGGTAATAAATTGCTTTAAAATTTGATTATAAATGCTTCCATCTGAATACATATTGTGAGAATTACCTGAACAATTTGTCCAATCAGAATTGCTTATTTTTCTGGTACCAACTTTTGTAAGAAGGATTAAAATAGATTTTAGATTCTGCAGATGCTTTCTATGGATAAGCATAAAAAAGCATAATGCTACGCTAAGTTTTTCAGTATAATACATAATTTGCCATAGACAAGTACACTCAGTAAGATTAAAAGGGCACACCAAGAAGGTGTTATCCAAATTAAACAAAATTCTGTATATCGTAAACCCATAGTTTGCGTCTGAATATGGCAAATTACTGGCTAGTCAGAGTTCCAGACATTGCTACAGAGTAACTGAATGGTGTACAAAACAGAACATTCTGATGCTAAAGCATAACTTCCATATGAATATGGTTCCTTTGACACATGTGAATTGTACGAGTGCCTCGCAGATGGGTTCGTAAATAGTATGAGTAGATGTGACTATTTGAAAGAGGATGCCAAGGAAGCATGGTGTCAAATCACAGAATCGTTAGACCTTTGGGTTGTAGCAATGCTACCGTTGGAGGATGTTGGCAGGAATGGGTGAACCATGGCTGTACAGAGTGTCATTAAGATAGGGGCAATAAGATGTGAAGACCGAATTCGGTGATCAGCAGCCCTTGATGCATCTTATCAATGAACTTCTGTGTAACCGAGGTGCAGTGACTGCAGTAACCTTTGATAGGTAATGAATAGTGGCTGAAGACATGGAGGCCATTATGCCAGCTGCCCCTCACTGTTGCAAATTGCTTCAGTCATGTTTGCTGTAGTGCTGTTCCATTCGACCTGAGATCTTACGGACTGGAGTAGAATTGTTAATTGTTTTCAGTGATGTGTCCTGCTTCAAATTGAGCCCCAGTTACCTGCAAAGATGTGTTTGGTAATGTCCAGAATAGCAGTGGGATACTAACTGCACAGCCCAGCAGTGAGGAATTATGGTATGTGGTGCCATTTCATTTGATAGCTGGACCCCTTGGTTGTCATCCATGACAGTCGTACAGCACAGTGGTACATCAATGAGATTCTATGCCCCATAGTGTTGCCCTTCCTTATATTGCAACAGAATAATGCCCGCTGCACAGGGCATGCCTTTCCATTGCTTGTCTTCATGCTTCTCCAATACTACCCCAGAATGGCAAGATTGCCAGATTTCTCCCACATTTGGTCTCCGATGAGCAGGCATCTCTGACTGTCCTGGACATGCCAATCTACCTTTTCAGTTGGAATATATATCACAAGCAGTCTCACAAGAAGACATACGAGTTATTGCTAAGCTGGAAAACAGCTTGTATCAGAGCCAAATATGGAACTTAATATAACTTAATTACAGGAAGAATACATCCAAGTTGGTAAAGGTATATTATCTAAAGTTATCTTTTTTTTTTTTTTTTTTAATGTTAAAGTAAAGGTTATTTTATTTGACATTGCTTGTTAAAGGTAATATCATACTTACATATTATCAGATCGACCATGAAAATTGGCTACCATCGAACTATGAAGTTTGGCGGCGATCCTATAAAAGCTGTGCTAGTTCTAGTATCAGAATTCTGAAGGAACAGAATTTATTCATTTAATGAACAACTAGTATTCAACCCGTTTTGCTTCTGTGTTTTCATAAAGAGGCTTTTGTCAATTTCTACTATTCTATTAGGCTCCTCAGTTTTATCGAAAGCTCTGTTTATAAGCTGTGTTCTCTAAAAGTATAAATTTCCCACAGGTAGTTATTTGATTATTGTTTTATTATTCGTTGATTATAGTCAACTGTTTTGTCGACCATGTCATGTCCATTAATTTGCAATTTTTTTTATGGTAGGATTCCATAACGTTGAAATTGATCTACTGCTTCTTAATCTGTAGAAGGTTGGTCCCTCATTTTATTAATTTTTTTCAAGGGGGAAGGAAAAAATACAGCAAGAATAGTTAATTTATATCCTTGTTTATAAAAGCAAAAGGTGGCTTTTATGAACAAGAGAATCAGTCAGGATTATACCAAATGAAAGTGCAGATGTTATGGGTGTGTTGTTACGTCTGGCTTATCCATAATTGGTGATGAATTGTGCTGTTTGTCCGGTTGATGGGTTAATATGTAAGTACTGATGATATTTCACTAAAAGAGAAAACTGAAAAAATAGTCATAAATATTGAGCATAACTTTTAAACTATTTAGTCATTATACCCAATTGATTTCTATATTTATGCTTTTTATTTCTCTTCATATAGATCAACATAATATGTTTTCTACAATTATGGATATAAAATCATTTACGTACAAGAAATTGGTTCTGGGTTATGGTCCCAACAAAGCTAGCACGGTATGACTTAAAATTTCTTGAATAAAAAGTGTGGGTACTCATCTATTATGCACACCCTCATATTAGAGACTGTTAAGTGGTGAAAAATAGTTGTTTAGCTTGTTTTTTCACCTTTCGTGTACCATCATAAATAATAATGATCATTTTATAAAAATTTAAAAATTTTATCTAAAACAAAATTCTGTATGGATGTTACTTACATTTATTTATACAATAATGGATGCTAGTCAGGAAAGTGAAGCGTAAATCTAAAGCATGTAAATCCATGTGTTCTCAAATGAATACATGGTATGCACACATGTGTGAGTTAACCCCTTCGAGCCGGGTAGCGAAAACGTGCGCTTATTGCGGAGGCCGGCAGTGTCTTCCGCGAGTGTCTCTCCAGGGCCGGGGGCTTTTTTGCTACTAAGCCTAAATCCATGAAATTTCCGAAGTATCAACGCATTGTTTAATAATGCTCCGTAGAGTATTTAAACGGCTTATGCTTTATAAATATTTATATATATATATACTTTAATTACCTTATTTCTTGTTTAAATGCATATTTTGCACATTTTATTTTAATTACTCACCATTTTATGACTTTTAACATTATACATCTGAAAACTAAATATATTACTTAAAATTCTCTTTTCGTATGAAAAATTTTAAAACAGGGATCTACACACAGTCCTACGTTACATTCCTTGAACTCGTAATAACTCATTTGCCGTTTTGGAGGATTTTTCCGGGAATGTGAACAAACGAAGCATCGTCGTCTCATTTTCTTATCAATCTCTTCTGAAGAAAGTTTTGGAAAATGTCTTTCAGTTAATCTTTCAGAATCAATATCAGAATTTCAGAATGAATATCTGAAATATTTTGCATCATTTCTGCTATTTCATGCTCTGTTAAACATTTTCGACGCTTCGACATTGAAACGGTAAAAACAGAAAGAATTCACGTCTAACAAGATCTAATTATTTTCTAAAAACTGAACTGTAAACCGAAATACTCAACGCTTTAGTGCATATAAAACTTCTACTTACAATAAACAACTACCACGTGCGAATAAAGTGTGATTTAAAGAGACGTCATAAATCACGCCATTCGGAAACATTTAGTTCCCCCGTTTGTTTATATAATCAAAAACACGTGTATGTGAGTCATGCTTCTCTCATTTCAAGTAGAAGGTCTAATGTACATGTATCTGAAACCATATGGACATACAGTGCCATCTTGTGGCAGAAATTATAGTTTGAAAAACGTTCCAAGGTACTGGCACAAATACGTGACATTCGGTAGAAAACGCAACAATGATCTGGCACGCCTGCATGTCGACCGGTAGATAAGTGTGTTCGTTGCTGGCACGTATACGTGACAGTTGGCGCGAAGGGGTTAATTGTTGATGCATGCATGTTTGACAATACATCAAAAACAAAGGTTTTACCATATGTGGATACTGGGGGTGTGGATGATGATGATTAAGTACCATAGTTTGATGTCATTTATGTGTAATTATTGGTAATTATTTGGTTTTAAAAAAAGTTTTAATTTTTTTAAATCAGGATGCTTAGTTGTTGATTTATATAAATTTCTTGCATCTTGCCATCCATAGCAAGTTTCAGGATTTTGGTCTTAGAAAACAGTTTGATTTAACCATATTTTGTTTTTAAAGCTGTTTAAAATATTATTAGTTTAAAAAATTAGATTTGCTGCAGTATTATTTACAGGGTAGCTAGTCCATCATGAAAAACAGCATTTAACAAAGCTGTGTCAAATTCATACCCAAACTGGAAAAGGCATTATTTCTGTCTAATCTGTGAAGAGAAATGAACCTTTTGTATGGATATTTTCTTAATATCAAAAAATATTTATTGCATCTGATTTTTGCTTTGAACATTGAATAAATATTAAAGTTAAAGTTAATAAAATGTTTTATGCTTGTATTTCTTCTTCATTTTCAGTTCATGTAAGCCAACCTTGATTTTTGTCTTCACTCAGAAGCCACTTTTATTCAACTAATACAAAAGTAGCTGCATAAAAATGACAGGAAAAGCATTAAGAGTTATCCTATAACTGGTGCCCTAGACAAGAATGCAATTACAAATTTTCACGTAGTTGGTAGTCACTTTGTTATTGTTGAAACAATTTATCATTTAAAAAAATTAAATACTGATTGGTTTAACTGTTTTAAACGTTTCGGAAAACATCTTAATGCTGTGAAACTTTTGAGTTGTATCTTGTTGCTATAATGTTGATTATTCCTGTAGGTAACTATTTATTGGAGGCCATCAGAAAAACGTTTCCATTTGTCTTTTGGAGTTGTGGGGCAGACAGCATCAGCAAGTAACCCTCATACAATTGTTGCAGCTCAGTTGCAGCATGAATTTAATCAACATTATTCCGTTATTGCCTTGTTGCAGGTATAAATTTGTTTTATATTGCATAAAATATGACAATGTATATTCATTTATTGCTTTTAATATTTTGAACAAACAGAAGTATTCTGTTAGTTTTCTATGTGAAATGTGTTTCTAAACCAAAGAGAATGAACTTGTAGTAATAATTTAATCTTGTTAGCCTGCAGTATTGAGAGCAAATAATAATATTAAAAAAGTGGTATTTTCTCATTTGAAATATTGATATTTTATTATAAGAAAATTTTAAAGATTCTGAACAGAAAATTTGGTTCAAGTTTAGTATTATTGCCTTGATTCTGTAATACCATCCATGTGCATGCCCAGATATTCACTACACATTTAATAAAAATTTATTTTTGAAAAATGTTTTCCATGCTGCTGCTATGTCCTTGAGAACTGGCTGGCTGCATATGTTCTTATAGAAACACAAGAGAAAACAGAGAACCTTTGTTATTCTTTTAGTCTAGTAACCCATATGTGATTAGAACATAAATTACTATTTTGCAGGTTAATCCTGTGCCTTCAGAACTTCTAATTGTTGAATTTCAGAAGGAATAACTAAGTTTATGATTAAATATTTATATTGCTCTAACAAATATTTTTTATCATTTAAAAAAACTTCATAATTTATTATTGCATGTGATAAAAATAAATTTTTTTATTTTGTTTTATTAATTGTTATAATAACATTTTATTATCTTTAGCATAATTACTTTAGCTTATAAATATTACACTTCAACAATCAGACATTTCAGTTTTTCGCTTCGAAATTTAATTATAAAAGTTGTTTTTATTGAAAGTTGAGTTTAGATGTAAAAAAAAGTTCTGTAATTAGAATTTTTAAGCCATTCATCTATCCAATTTTTTTTTTCTCCCAACTGTGAGCATTAGCCATTATAGGCATTGGCTATGGCTAAAGATGGAAGCGATGGTTATTTTATTGTGGAGGCACTAGTAGATGGGCCACCACTCTTATGAAGAGATAATTTTACATTCATGCCTTCTCTGTGATTCAAACCTGGCCCCTTTGGTATGGCAGTCAACATCTGCCCAACTAATACAAAAATGGTGTCATGACACATCATGTTAAATTTCACATCATGGAAACCGTTGATTAGGAAAATTCTTGCTGCTTTTAAACAGAAGAAACAGTTTCTGTTTGTAAGGATCCATATGCTCCATGATGTGGTTCATGTGCTTTCTTCATCATTAAATTATGTTGCTTGTTTAAAAAAAAAAAAAAAAAAAACTGGATGATTTTGTAGTGATGAACAGTTAACAAATAATTGATGAAGTATGGAATGTTATTTCATATAAGTGAATTAGTTTCTAATAATTTAGGAAAATGGATAAAAATGTAATGTCAGCAGAATTGTGAGTTTCCAGAGACACAGTATATGGCAATAAAAGTAATCAGGTTGCTTGCATTGTGCAAAAACTAATGCAGTGCAGCTTTTCCTTTGTATGTGGAAGACTAGATAATATCTCTGACCTTCAGAATGGTTTCTACTCTTTGCTATAGGCATATGCCTTTTCAGGGTTTTTTTTTTTTTTTTTTTTTGGGGGGGGGGATTAAATTTTATGTGAAGCTCAAGGAAAATACATCTGAAAGTTCTGAAAAAATAGAGCAGGCTTTTTCGTAGGCGTAACGCGAGATAAAGCTTTTTCAGAGGACTGTAAAATTGTTTAAAATGAGAATCATTTTAGGGAGTCTGCATATCCAAAACAGATATAAAAGTGTGAGAAGTCTGATCTAGTCAAACCATTGACTAAAAATAAGAGTGATGGCAGTAAGTTGAATTTGAACTGTTTTGCAAATTTTGTTAACAAATTAAAGCCATTGCTGAATTTGAACTATTAATCTCTTTTGGAATTAAAGTTGAGTTATTCCTTTCTGGGATTATGTAGAAAATGTGTGCTAGATTGCTTCCAAAAAATCTCTCATTGAAATAGAGCAAGAACTGAGCAAACATGTTTGGATCTTCTGGAATACATCTGCAGTTAGTGGGATTTATTCAATAAAAGTAGTAACTGCTGATTTTCCAAATATTGCCACGAAATGAAATGTCAAAACTACAAATAGTGTACAAACAGCTCTCCCCATCCCCCAAAGAGTAAGGATGTGCAAGTCCAAAATTATATCGAAACTAATTTGCATTTTTGTCTGTTAAGAGTTTATTTACAAGAAATTTATGCATCAGAGATAATCGGTGATGCAACATTACTACTGTCCAGTTCTAAAAAGGCTAAAAAAAAAAAAGAGTTGTTAGTATGCAGTTAAGAATTCATAATACTTGAATACTGTGCTATAATAATGCCTTTGTCACATAGCACTCTCCTTTACTGTATTTTTCACTCTAAGTGAGTAGGATGTAAGGATTTTGTATGGATTTTAAAATTCTGTTGAAATGTTATCATTTTGACTCTGTAGGCAGCATTTTGACAAAAACTGCAGTTAATGAGTTAAAAATGATTTTGTTTCAAGAATTTCAGTAGTGCTGTAAAAATAAGGTGTAATGGGCTTAGAATTATTCTAATTGTATGTAATTTTTTGAAGTGTGTAAAATTTCACGTGTCATTTTTAGTTTATCCTTTTGTCAATGTATGCATGAAAGATTTCATATTTTGTTAATTTTTCAAATTTATTTTGCTTTTAATTAGGAAAATCATTGAATCATTGAAATTTAATTATTTTATTTCGTATGAGATAATAAAAGTTGGAACTTTTTACCATTTAGGTTCTTCATGATACATATTCACCTCTACTGTCCATCAGCAAGCTTCCTTCTGCCCCAGAACTTGGGGTGATTCATAGCGTGAGTATAACAGTGTGAATTGAATTCTTATATTTTTATTGTTCAGATTGATCTATTGAATTTTTCGTAAAATCTTTCTTTATTCATTTTCTTTATTTTTACAGAGACCAGCTGTACCTATACAGACATTTGTTACAGACCCACAGACATCTACACATCTTCGTGTTGTTTATAGAAATTTGTATCCTTTTTCCCACGTGCATGTTGTTAAACTTTTAATGACATTTACACCCAGCACCACAAATGGGGGGGGGGAGCTTTGTGCTGCTGCATAAAAAATATATTTTTCACATTTAGTTTCCATTTAATTTTGATAAAATGAAGTAGATGAAAAATTTCAAATGCTAAGAACTTTTATATAGTTATATTATTAAATGCCTATGAGAATCTGATTTTTTATTGATAAAAATGACCATCATAGATTCCTCCCTCCCCCCATTATAATGATTTCGGGGCAGATTTAAGTCGTTTTTTGGGTGGAGGAAAAAGGGATAATGTATTTTTAAAAAATGGCACATCAATATCAATTTAATACTTTCTTAGTCACAAAGTATTAATTTTATTAACTGGATCTGAAATTATTTATTGTGAGATATATCTGACCTTAAAAGTTGTTAAGAAAAAGTTTTTAAGTTTTATGTTGCTGTTCAATTAATGCTAAAAATTTTAAATCAGGGAAAGCTACATAAATGGAATTTTTTTCCCATTTAATATTAGTGTTGATATTACTGATTCATACTTTAGCATTTTTCATTCTTTGTGTATGTAAATGAATTTGTAGCAAATAAGTCTTTGATGTCAATAGTGCTCCACTTTTTAAGTCAAAACTATATATGCAAAACATTCACATTTCTATGACTGAATTCATTGTCATGAACATGTCATCTGTTAATAAGAATTTAAGTAACTGCAAAGTGAATATATTTTGTTTATATGTTTTTATGTATATTTACTTAAAAAGCTAAATTTAAAGGTAATTGTTTTGTAATATATTTAGAATTAATAATTTTGCCACATTCTAAGTTTTTGTATTTCTTAAATTTGGATCTTTGGATAGTAATTAAGTAATACTGAAAGAAAACAAATATTTGTGTAAAACCCTTTGCCATGGAGTAGGGCACCAGACTTTGTAATTATTAATTATAGTTAGAAACATTTGCTTTGTTTAATTTTTGATGAGATTTTTATATATTTAACATTATGCTTTCATTAACTGCTGAGTTGCATTTACTTTTCATGAGCTTCTCTCTGTTAGGATCTTCACCTCAGAAAGTAATTGATTTTATGTTTAATATAATCAATTTAATTTAAAGCACAACTAAAGCTTCTTTTTAGTTAAATTATAAATTACACGGAAAAAGTTACAAAACATGTTAAAATCTTTTCATCGTGTTAAAGAAAATTTCATTTTATTTTTAAAAAAGCAGATGTTTTGGAATAAAAATTTTTTACAACAGTTTATTGTTTGAAATGAGAAATATTGTCTGCTATTTTTTAAATTTATTCTTCTTTCAAAATGTCTCATGTGAACAAGTTGTAGATTGAAGGCTATGCTTTTGTGCTTCCCAAAGAGAAGTATATCTATTCCATAATTAAAAAACATTGTAAAATACATGGTATTAAAATTTCAAAGGGGAAAATAAGCAACATTATTAATGGAAAAGGAAAAAAACTGTCAATTATTACTTCTGCATGGAAATAGATATGGGGGGGGGAAGATGTATACTGTTTCTAAAGTTAAATTGTTGGTAACAAGAAAAAAATGCCATGATGCAGAAATCATTTGCATAGTCATTAAATACCTATCTAGCAACAATAAATTAAATAATAAACCAAGATTTACAATTTATAAAAGATTAAAAGCATAATGTTTATCAGATTTTGCCGAGGCTTTGTGGCTGTGAATGCAGAATAATTTGTAGAAACCTGGATGAAAACTGTTTAGCAGGGAGATGTAGATGCATTGTGACCGTTGATGAAGCATAGATTTACCTAAACTGCAACAAAAAAAGGTCTATTTATTATTGACATGTGAAAACCTGGTTGCAAAGAAAGTTTCGGTGATTGTTGCAGGATTCTCTTATGATGGGAAATTAAAACTAAGAAGATTTTTTTAAAGTTAAAATCAATTTAACTTATTATCAAGAGAGGGTTTTACATCTGATTTTTACAAAGGAAATTCCATTTCTTTATCCGAATGACTCTCAAAGAGGGAAACATCATCCACACAAAGCAGCAAGTCATGTTTTGATAATAACCACTGCATTCCTTCAAAAAAAAAAAAAAAAAAAAAAAAAAAAAAGACATACAAATATTGCACATATACCTGTTCAAATATTTCTGCAAAGTTTCCTAACTTTTGACCTATGGATTGTTCTGCCTCTGATCTCTTGAAAAAAAGCACTTTCCAAGTGCAAACCCACCATGATTGATAAACTCTGTAAAGTAGTGGAAGAGGAATGAAAGTCAATCCTCCTGGAAGTTTCACGAAAATAATGGAAATTACGATGCAGCATATAGCTCCTCCCCCCCCCAAAAAAAAAGATTATTGAATCTTTAAAAGATACTCTTTACATTTTAAACAGCCCCGAAATCGTTCCAAAAATGCATAAACATCTTCTGAATGCTCTTTATTTATTTCTCTGTGAAGTCCAAATCTTTCTTGGCCTTTTTCATTTCTGATATTCAAATAAATTTTCATTTTTAAATAAAGTATATTGTATAATACATTTCCCAAGGTTTTAGGTATATTTCCTTAGTAGAATTTAGATTTTGTTTAGATATAGAATGCAGACCTGAAGGACTAATAGCTATTCGAGATGGTGCCTATAGTGTTTTTGATAAACAGAAGGCGGTTGAAGAATTATCTACCATTAACAGTATTAAGGTAAAATTTGAATGTAATTTTACATGAAATAATTACTTGTACTTTTACAGATATCTTTACTTCAATTGAAAATATTTAATTTCATGCACGAACTTTAATTTAAATATTGGCTAAGAATTTTAGTAAATAAATAATAATTAAATATTACTCTAAACTATGTTGTTAATAAAATGGAACTGTAAATAATTTACATTTATCATAATTTAAATTGTATGTATAATATTAGAACCTAAGTGGAACTTTAGATCAGAAACATCTTACTTCATGAATAAGTTATCTGGGTGGAACGACACCTCAGATGACAAATTGCATATTGAGTTATGAATACTTAGGTGGGTGATGTATGATTTTCGAAATTGTTGAAGTAACCAATGCTACATAATTAACATTTAGGGATTTCTGGAAACATCATTTTTAATATTTTTCACTGCTTAGTTTTCATTAACAAAGCCTGGCAACAAAATACTTGCAGGAGCATGAATTCAGCCTGTAGGAAATTATGGCTGGCTTGGGTTGCAGACAGAGGTATTGAGTGCTTTGATCTTTGTGTGTTATTAGTGATACATCTTTAGACAGAACCTTGAGTGAGGAAATCAACAACGAAGGTGTGGAAAAGTTACTAAAAAAACCATAAAAATAACCTGAATAAGAAAAACTACAATTTCAAAAAGCAGGAACAAAAAGTGAATGGTAGGCAGGTCTTCAGAAAAAGAATGACAAATGATCATGAAATTTATGTAAAATTAGGTAAGATGCAAAGTTCTTACACAATGTGTCACCGTGATAAAGCATTAGCAAGCTATGTCATAAGCATTTTCGTCGACAGTGCGATGCATCACTTTATAAGCATTTTAAAACACAGGCAAATATAAATCACATTGGACTGATTTGAGTGAAACAGAGGCCCAGCAGTCTCAGTTAAAGTCGAGTAGTGCTCAGAAACAAAGAAAATAGAAAATGCCTCCTAAAGATAAATGCATGGTATTTTTGTAGAAGGAAGTTTTGCATCCAAGCATCAACATTCCCTTCCTCATTTTCCAAGTATGTTGTCCCGTGTATAGTTACAGAAAATTAAAAATTTTTGATGTGTTTTATCTGTTTAGTGTTGTCTTTTATCTTTTTTTATATATATATATTTAATGATTTCTATTGATTTTCACCTATGAACATATACACAAAGTACTGTTGTAAAGCTTAAATAAGCAATCATCAGTGGTTCAAGAATGAATTAAAACATTCAATATTAATTCCTATAGGAGAACTGTTTTGGTTTGGAAATATTTTAATTGACAAATGGCTTTTAGGAATGAATCAAATTTTTGGAACCAATGTTTCTCATGTATATAAAATGTAAAGCAAAATGGTTGTGTAGATTGCAAAACAATACCCTAAATTATATGTTTAAGATCAAATTCCTACCCCGAGCCCCCAAGAATTATTCTTTTACTTCCCTTGCAGGAATTATACAGAAGGGAAACTCGGTTATTTCTTAGTTTATAACATTTTTAGCTTCTTGAAAAGGTTATTATGAGTTTAGTATCTGTGTTTTAGTAATTTCTTACTCATGTATCTGATGAATAGTCATTTTATTTATTGCTAATAAAAATTTTAATATCTCTGACACCTATTGGGGGAGGTGGTCAGCTTCATTTCTACTTTTGCTTTACTTTCATGATATACTTAAAAGCTGCCTATCCTAGAAACACTCGGTAAATTCTGGATACTGACATCACATTTGTTAGTGTAAAAAATGTATTCATGTTAAAGCCAATAATGGAAATTTTTCCACTTTAAATTTAAAATATAATTTTTGCAAATGAATAGGAAATTTTTCCACTTTAAAATTTAAAATTATAATTATTTGCTACCATCTGAAATATCAAAATCATATATATTTAAAATTACATATGATTTAAACAAAAAATCTGAAAGCTTTCGGATTTTACATTACGCTCAAAGGAACAATTTTTTAAAACATTTTCTGTTACCTTTGTTTGTTAAGTATCTTGTTCTTTGCACTTAAACCATAAAATTCAATTCAGCAGCAATATTGCAAAATAATTTTAAATTGAGCATATCTTCTATCTAGAATTTCTGATGCACAGTCTCATGTGCTGGAGATAAAAAAAAATTTTTTTTTTCTTCCCGCCCTTTTTTCTTTTTTTTTTTTCCCCTTTTCGGTATGGTGTTGCCATTGCTCACTTTGAAATGGTTGAGTTTGTTTAATAAAAAATTCGTTAAAGTGTTACAAAGTATGAAATAGATAATGAAACAAATTCCAAATTTTGTTTTCAGATGCCATTAATTGGGTGGAAACGTACGTTATTCAAAATTTGATGGCTCTAGGTACTGTTATTTTATCACAAAGCGGGAAACATACATACATTTATGAAGATCCTTCATTATTTAATTTCTTTAAATATAATGGGTTCATCGAATAAGCAAATTCAGTGAACACAATTATTTTCAGTGACTGTGTACTATAACTTGGGCTTAATATCACAAATGTAGTGTTCAGTGTTTATTCTTAAAGCTTCAAGATTTCATGGTTTGTTTGCATCAGTTATTCATTTCAAATAACTCAAAAAGTAATCTAAAAGCATTCATTGCAATTTCTGATAGGCCAAATCATTTCGTAAAATTATCCTTTCATGAAACTTTTTCATTTACGTCCATTGTGATGTTTGCAGTATGACTTGTGGCACCATCTTTTTACAAGTTCCCCAAATGAATATGCTGTAAATTTGGCCATAAAACATTAGTTGTTATCAATTGGTATTGCTCACCAGTCACTGTAACTGCATCTCGTCTCTGTTTTGGGGAGATTTAAAAAAAAAATAAGTAGTTCAATAATCAAGGGCTTCTTATGTATCTCTTATGAATTGTTCTCATACCAAAAGTGAGTTTTGTTTGTTAGCGTATGCAGTCAAGAAGAAATGAGCTTCATCAGAGAAGGTAATTATTTGTCCAAAATTATTGATCCTGAAGCATGTATTTTGCCATAATGAATTGTCAGAGCATATTAACAATACTATAATATATATTAATTATACTTCTGGAACATCCTAACAGTAACCGTGGAAAATTCCAGGCTCACCCTGACTGGAAATAACAAAACAAGTGAAAAACAATAGAGTCAGTTTTTTTAAGGTAGTGGGGGTGCACCGGAGGCAATTGTTCATAAGGAATTTTTCCCCCCAATGAACACTTAATCTTGGGGCTTGAGTGGCTACCAGGCGCATTGGCAGGTGGTGGATATCCGAATGTCCTGTACTTTCCGACAAGATAGCTTTGAATAATAAATAAGAAGCCGCGAACCCTCTCCCGTAACCCTGGTGTTATGCAACCCGTGCCTAGGGTGAATGACATTGAGGTTATAGTGTCCTAATGGACGCTCTAGCATGGACAATTTCTAGAGTATACCCAGCAACAGGGCTTTACCTGTTTCTAGAGCTTTACCCAGCAACAGGCAATACTGGGTGAACCTTTTTTTAATCTAATATAAGTAAAAATTCTGCTTTTGTAGGCAGAACTTCTGATACAGACCTTTCTTCTCAAAACAAGGAAACTCAGAGGAAATCAATTGAAGGAGCAGAAATGAATCTTTCATTGAGGTAGAAATGACCTCTACTCAAGTTGCTCAGTCAACATCTGGAGAAGGTCAGCAAGCTATTAAAAGCATGACCTGCATCTCTAGATAAAATCAGATTCAAAAAGAGATTTCCTAGAGCACAAGGGGGGAGTGCCTATGAATTGAAAAATGCCAGAGGTACTTGATTTAAAAAATCCAAGGGAAAAGATGAAAAAAAGACAATCTCTTATGCCTGAACTCTATTAAGGGGCTGGCTGTCAGACTTTATAAACAAAATGGGCATCCCAAATAAATGGAGCTGGGAAGCATCGGTTTGGTGTGTTTGGCACAAAATTCTGTTTAGCAGATGTGCCTGACAAACCTAATGCGAAATGGAAGACGATGACTGCAATGAGCAGTTAATGCTGCATTTTTCATCAAAGTTCTGAGATGTATGCAAGAGGTTAGAGAAGAGGGTGATTTGTGAAGTGGCGTTATAACATAGTTCCTTCTTCATGACAGTGCACTACCTCAGATTCCTTTTTTGACTTCTTTGTTTTTGGCCAACAACATTATTTTAGTACTGTATCCCACCTACAAATCTGACTCCATACCCTGTGACTTCATCTTTTTTTCTAAAACTAGAAATGGAACATAAAGGGTAGATTTGAGACTGGTGTAAGAAATTCAAGCAGAATCACAGGCAAATACAGCATGAAAACGAATTTCCACAAATATTTCAAAAGTTGGCAGCATGGCTGGGATAACTTTCAAACCTTCAAGTGGAACTACTTTGAAAGCAATACAGCCCACTAATATATAATTGTAAGCCTTTTCATATTTTAAGCCACAAGTCTAAAATCTTTTTGAATGGACTTTGTATTTTAATAGGTTTTAAATATAGAATATTATTGACACAGATGAGCAAATTTTGTAACTTTGTTCTTTAGGGCAGAGAAGCTGTGAATATTATAGTAGATTAAAAATTAATGATATTAATGAATTAATATTCTTTTTGCCCATGTTATATAATTAATTTTTCAAAGCCCTTCTTCCTGTCCAAAAGAAGTTAAGCTTTATTAAGATATTTGAGGTAACAGTATGATTGCTTAGAAAAGAAGAAATACTAAATTTGAAATTTCTTTTTAACGTAAATAAACCATATGTAGAAAGACTCTTTGCAACAAATTAAATTTTTTTTAAAAATTTCTGTTGTATTTCTGAAGTTTTAAAAAAAGGCATAGATTATAAGAAGCAGCATTAATATAGGTATTAGTAATCGAAGAAAAAAAATCTTTGATTTTGAAAAAATAAATTTCTGAAATAGATCTAATAAATATATTTATTCTAATAGAATTTGATTTACTAAGAACAGTATTTATAAGCCAATATGTTATTCATAGCTTCCTTCTGAATCAAATGAGAGACATCAAGGAGATCAATGATACAGCATTTACTAAAGGAATTATAGATAGCCCTTTTAGGAAATATATTTTATGCTGTTGATTCACTCTGCTCATTTGACGCTTTATGTTTTCAGAAGCTAGTCAGAATGTTGTCTCTGTAGCAGCCTGATTTCGTGTTAAACATTTTCTTGTTTCTCAAATATGTTACATCAGTGTTTTGCTTCTTGCAGAAACTCATTTTTAGTGAACCCTTTCCCAAAGAACCCAGTCTTCTGGTAAGGAATTTGAAATCTAAAGCAATATTTAATGATTGTTAACTATAAATTTCTTCAAGAAATAAACCATGTGAAAAAAAGCAAATTTTTTTGAAAATTAAAGTTGGAAAATGCATTTAATTTTTAGTAAAATGAAGGAGGGGTTAAGGATTACATTTTAAAATTGGAGATTATGATGTAACAGTTGTATTGATCCTTAATTTAAAAAAAATTATGAATATGTATATCACCATTCTTAGTATAAGAAATATATTAAGATATATGTTAATAAAATTACTTTGCATTTTGATAGGCATTTCTCAGCAAGTTTGTTGATGAAACAGCTACACAGTCAAGACGGAGATCGCAAACAGAGGATGACAATCCATTATCCCCAGTGCCGACTCTGGACAGTCTAGATTCAGGATTTTTATCTACCACAAGTCAACTGACACCAGCATCACCAGCCCAGTGTCGCAGTCAGGAGAGTGTTTCATCTACTAGTGGGCCAGGATCTGGTCTCAGATTTCATTTACCCATGACTCCGCCATCAGGTTCAAATCCTCACACACCAGCATCTCCTCATACATCAGTTCTTTCTCAGGTTTGTAGCATGTAGTTTAACTAAAAATTTCCTTCTAAGAATTTTATTTAATGCTAGTATGTCTTAAGCAATACTTTTTTATTGTTTTTGTTTTGAATGCTTTGTAAAATAAGTATTTATACTACATCTATAGGTTTTTGATTTAAGATACTTAATGAATTTTTTTACAAGACTATTATATTATATTACTATGCTTAAATTATTGAAGTATTATAAAAGGCAGCTTTCTTGATAAAAAAATGAATTTTTAAATTTTTACCTTGGAAATTATTCCAGAATTTGAGTTAGCATCCATTGTGTGGTCTTCCAAAAAATTTTTTGAAGAACAAAATTTCCTTTCTTTCCATTGCTTGGAAACTCTTGCTGCAGAGATCTCAAACTCCTTTGAAGTTGTTTAAGTTTTAATTATCTGTGTATATAATAAAAGAAAGAGTCTGTCTGTGTTTTTTTTTTTTTTTTTTTTTTTTTTCCTCTCGTGCTATGCATAAGCTAATAGACCCACAGCTACAAAATTTGGTACATAGTTGCATCTAGACAAGACCGAGTGCACCTCGAAGGGATTTTTTTCAAAACTCAAATCGGTGTTTTTTTTTTTTAATTCGATCTTTTTTGATGAAATTGCATCATTTTGAATTCTTTTAGAAATTTGGTTTTGGCAACTGCTTTTCATTCAATGCTTTGTATACTGGACTGCTGACTGGTGAAAATATGAGATAAAATATTATTAATTATACTTTCCTTTCCAGAATTTTTTGTTTCTTTCGTGTTTTTTATTGCTTATTTCACTGTTTAGAAGAACAGTTAGAAGTGTTAAGCATGATTTTTTTTATGCAACACGAAGTTGATTAATTTATTTATTAAGATAATTAATATTTGTATTGAGGGATAATGCTTATTTTCTTTTGATTTTTGGACACACAGCATGCACATCGCAGTCATCTTACTCTGACGTGCATGTATCTCGTGAGGCACAACAGAAAGAATTTCCTTTTTTCCCCCCTCTATCTCTCTTTATAAGCTAATGGCAAAGAGGTTTGTTTATTTTGAATTATGTCATCTACAAAGCACAGTTTTGATTGGCTATTGCTTTCTCATGATAGTTTCATTCTTTTAGAAATGTGGTTTTCGCAACAGTTTTTCATTCATTGCTTTGGATACTGGACTGTTTTCTCCTGAAAATATGAAATTTATTGCTTATTCAAGTTTTTTTATATAATATTTTAATTATATAAAATTTTTGCATGAATTTTTTAGGAAATAAAGTTCTTAACTTCCTTTATACCATTTGAATTCTTAAGATTTTGCAATGGAAGTTGGTCAATTTATTTATTAGGATAATTAATATTTGTGTTAAGAAATATTGTTTATTTCATTGTAATGTTTTTTTATATATAATGCATTTTTATTATTATTTTATTTATTTATTTATTTATTGATAAAGCTGTTTTGCAGAGTAAAATTCTGTGCATTTTTAAAATTTAATGTTTGGTGTTCCCTTTAGGCATTTTCTGGTACATTTAAAAGCCAGATGAAGGCTGGCCATGTAGCAGCTAGTATTTTAAAAGTAAATGATTTGAAGCTCATAATTTCTCGTCAACTGCCTTTTTCATTTGTGCAATTTTGCTTTTCATTTTAAGCTGTTTAAAAGAATACACTTTACATTAAACGATAGACTAACATTTTGAGCTTAAAGAAGATTCTGTTGTGTATATTATTTTCTGAATTAATTTTAATAATAATCATAAAGTACATAGATAAAAATTAATTATTAGTGTGATGCTAATTCTTAAACATAGATTTTAACTTATGCATGCATTTGTTTATTTAGCAAAGCTATGGAGCATCACCAAATCCATCATTCTCATTAGCATCACCTCCATCTTTGGGGTCACAGTCACAAGCTCAACATGTAAGTCCATCACCATCTATGCTGCATGTTCAAGCACAATCTCCTGGGAATCTTTTTGCTGCAAATTCTCCAGCAAATCCACTTCATGTACCTTCTCCATCTTTTCTCCCGACACCATCACCATCTTCATCTACATCACAAGTGCCCATGCAGTCTCCTGCAGCAAGTTTCATTAGTCAGCAAGGTAGGTATCCAGGCTGTGGAATCTTCTCCTAAAACATGTTTTTTAAATAAATAAATAAAATAAATTTATATACCAGTTAATCAAGAACTTAAATTTTCCAGTTAAGTTGATTATTTTTTATTTTATAACTAGGTAGCGAATGATACTTGTAAAATGTACAGATTCATAATTCAACTAGTTAAATATAACCTAATATCCAGCAGTTTTACATCCAAGACAGTTTAGTTATTGATGTCTATTCTTCTTAATCTTTTTATAACATTGATACATATATATAACATTCACAATTTTATAGTGGGAATACATAGTATTACTTTCTATTATGAATATTACACTTACTTACTTACTTACTATTACGAATATTGCAGTTACTGCCAAATTAAATTAAAATCTCTGTGAATTTTTCAAGCAAATAATATAGACAGTTCTGTATATAAATTTTAAAATAACATGATGTCTTTTTATTTTCTTTTATAAGTAAGTCATTTCCATTATAAAAAGAAAAAGCGTGGTAGAAAAAAGAACTGTAGTTTGAATTTGTGTATCTGAAATATATATGTACTTCTAAAAATTATGGTTGCTTTTTTTCTTTCTTGCAGTTCTTAATTGATACACAGTCCTAGTATTCAGATTAAGAGTATGATTATTCAATTTTTGACACATCATAATTTCTCATCAACTGCCTTTTTCATATCTGTTAGGAATGCCTTTTTCATATCTGTATATCTGTTAGGAATGCTATCTGAAGTGGCTTTGAATGTGTGATTTGGTAGTAATAAACATTCCTAAGCATTTTGTTTTGGACCATTCTCATTGTGGCTGGAATATTATGTGCAAAATTCCGCTAAATTATGTACAAAATATTTATAGCTTTATCTTTAACTTTTCTGAACTTCTGAATTCATCCCAGAGTGCTTCTTTGAACAGTACTCTAGCACAAATTAAATAAAAGACAGTACACTTTCTGAGAGTGAAACCTGCTAGCTGAATTAAGGAAACTAAAGATCAACTGATCTTTAGTGAGAGTCCGGTTAATGTCAGAAGATGTGGAGAGAATGAGTGTAACTAATGATTATTTGTTGAAAGGCTGCCAAAGCATTAAACATATTTGTGAAATTTTCAAAGCATAATAACTGCAGAGAAGTGGAGAAGTAATGAATCTCTGTGCAGTTCAATGATGTATCTATAAAATGGATATTCAGTTTTTAAAAAGTCTCATACAACAACAAGACAAGATTCCAAAACATAAATTGGTGATAATAATAAGCTATCCATATTCTGTAATTTCTTTTCTTGTAGTTTCTAGTCATTAAATGTAATTGTAGTTACTGTATGTAGAACTTCATTTCAAGTTTTGCACTTTGTTAAACTATTTTTGCAAAATTGTTTTTGTTAAATTTTCATATTAAGTCTAATAACTTGGCATTAGAAAAGTCCTGTATTTGTCAGATTATTGAATTTTCACTGTATTTATGAATTTTCAAAGTACATAAAATAATTATATTTTTATACTTAAATGTAGCTCATGGAGATGGTGGCTCTCCTTTTGCTGCACCGGCAAGTGCAGGTAATTTGTCGATGTCTTCACCTGCACCTGGAACCTGGCCTGGAAGTCCATCAGTTCCCAGACCTTCTCCAAGACCCATAGGAACAGCACAAAGTCCTGGAAGCAGCAATCACCCAGCCTTGCATAGTCCACAAGCAGGAAGTTTAGCAGATCACTCAAAGCCACCTGGTAAAAGGATAATATAAATTTCTTTAGTTCATTTCTAGTCTCTTTTAGTTATGCATGAATTTGATAGGTAATGCCAGCCTAATTTTAAATTGAGCTGCTGCAGTGTTTACAAGCTTTTTAGTTAATTATGGGAGCAGGAAGCAAACATGTATTAGTAAAAAATTTATAACTGCATGGTTTTTAATTCATGATGTGTATAAAACATGTTTATATGATTGTAGAAAGTAAATTTTGCAGAATATTGATAATGTTAAATGGAATAAAACTGATAATTGAGGTCTTTTTTTTTTCTTTTGATCTATCTTTATATTAGATAGAAAAATATTTTGTTTGAACTCTCAGAACTGTCAGCACTTTTTGATTGAGCAATTTGATAATTTGCATGGGTAATGTGTGCAACAAGCATCCTTTAGCTCTGTAATTTAAAAATTATTCCCTTCCCAATATATGTGCAAATGTATACAGGCAATGAAATTATATACATAAAAGCCAAGCCTTTATTTTCAGACTTTAGCATGAGTGTTATTTATTCTGTGTAACTTTTTAATGACATGAATCTCAACAAAAATTTATGGCATGGTATTATGGCTATTGATGTTTTTCACAATGTATCTCTTAAATAACATTCTAAAGTGTGTTGGGTAACTGTTTGGTAATTTTGGATAATATTCTGATCTCTCTGATTCTTTTCACATCTGCATCACATATAGATTTTCAGAAACACTAATTCTGGAACCTTGTTAAAATTAGCCACATTTTAAATGGTAATAAATAACACATATTGTGAATCTCTAGTATTAATATTGAAAAATAAGGGAATAGAAGTAGTTTATTAATCTTGATTATGCATGAGAAACATGCTAGATAATTCATGAAACAAATTTTCGTTTATATGTGTGAAGCTGGTTCGACTGTTTTATATGCATAAAAATCTTTTTCGGAGTTAAAAATTTGTGATTTTATGATGGGAAAGTTCAACTATATGTTCATACTTTATTTGTAGAACTATTAGGATTTTTGGAGTAAGAAACATGAAAAATCAGCAATGTAATCAAACTCTGGATTTTCCAGTTGTCAGCTAGACATGCTGCCAGTTACACCACAAGAACACACCCCGGGGCAAACCAAAAATCTTTATATTCTTCCTAACTTAAAAGAATGTCAAATAGAGAGAGGGTAACGAGACTGAGAAGGCCATATTTAGATGGTGATGAATTTTCATTTACCACACTTTAGTTGGGCACAACTATGGAGCTGTTAGAATTTCTTTGAAATGAAAACCATGGGAAATCAATGATTCCCTTTTAATTGTGAATCCAACAGTGAAATTGGTTTGGAGTCTTAAGATGTCGTGGATACTGTTTTCAAAATCTGTTGCATTAGTAAGTGTCTTGCCATGGAGGAAAAAAGGCCACAAATTAGAAGTGTGTTTTTAACATAAATTTTAATAGCTATTTAGCATCATATTTGTTTAATGACATTTTTGTCTTCTCTAATAGCAATTTCTCAACATCAAACTTACTTAATCTATTCGATCTATATCAAATAGTGATGAAAAGATTTACATGAATTGCCATATCTCAAGGAAAATGGGAAGGGAGAACTAAATTTTGTGAAAATTGCAAACATTTTTGGCTTACCCTATTGTAAATGGACTATAATTATCATTGATGAAATTTTTACATTGTGAAGAAAGATAATGCTATAAGTGAATTTTTTTTATGTTTATGAATGTTAGTGCATGTTTGTGCATGTTATTTCTATATTAAAAAGGAATTTATGAATAATTAGTTTTTTTATTTCATGTCAATATTATTATTCATTTTTTAAGTTTTATTATGAGCATTAAATCTTTTGCCTCTCCTTTTTGTAATTAAAAGTTCTGTTTCTGAATTAAATTGATTAAGCTTCTTAATTTGTTGCATTATTTAAAAAAATAGTATTTTTTTATTATTATATCTCACATTATATTCAAATTTTGCATAATATTTTGCTGACTAAAGGCATACATCTACTGTTGTCCACTATAAGCCATTGAATTTAAAATATGTTGTTTGCAATATTGATGTTACATTTTATCTACAGTACTGAATATTCATTAGCTTTTCAAAACAAACTGATATTTAAAATGTCAAACGTTTCCTGTATGAAATAAATGTATTAATAATTTTGTAGAATATAGGACATTGCTAATTCTTAAGCAAAATTTCTATAATTTTTTTTATTTTTTGTAAAAAGTGTTTGTTTACCATTACCCAAATTTTCATTGTTTGTATTAAAGATATATTAATAAAATAGGGTATATATATATATATATATATATTATGTTAATTGTTGTTATAGGTGTATCTTCTGCTCCCTCAGCAAGAGTATTGCATTGTTCATGGCAAGCAGGTATACCAACTTTGCTGACTCACAAATCTTTCGATTTATTGTGTTCACCTGGTACCATAACTAGTACGCAACCTGGTTCTCCAGTTGTTGGACAGAATCAATACCATATATCACCATTGGAACGATTCCTTGGTTGCTGCTACATGCGTAAAAGTTTGGGACGGGTCATACAATCAGAAAATGTAAGAGCAAAACATGTTGTATGGAATATTAATGTTTTTATGCATTTATTCATATATGTAATAAAATTTTTGTTTTGATGTGCCCAAAATAGATTTTTTGTTTTTCAGAAAGAAAGTGAATTCTATATATATATATAACTAAATAATATTAAATACTAAACTTCTAACCTTCCAAAATATTACCTCCTTAATTTGTTCTTACTGGCTCTCAACTTTTTCTTTTGCATTTTTGTAAAACTTTGGAAGGTTATAATTTTAATATTTAATTTTGTTTAATTACAGTAAAATTTTTCTGCTAAAATGCAAGTATTTTGATTTAGATATTATTTACATTTTGAAGATTTTTCTTAATTCCTTTATGTAAGTAATATAAGCTTTTTACAAAAAATTAGCTATTAAGACTACAAGTGTTTTGAAAGTTTAACTCACTGTCATGTGATCATTTAAAAAATTATTCATTAAAAATTACAAAATATTCTTAAATGAAATGAGGGTACTTTCTGATTATCTGCACCTGTCCTCCCAAAAAGTTGTGAACTCGTTGGCAACTAATTTTTTGCTCAGCTAATAAACAAAAGACAGCAGCCTTTTTTAAAATGGCAGTACACTCAAAAGAGTTTGGTAAAAAAGCAGCAATCAATCAAATTGAATAAGTGAGAAACATCTGTAATAAAACACCATTTTCAAGAAATCGTTATGTAATTCCCCCCCCCTCCACTGTTTAATTGATGTACATAGTGATCTGCTAAAAAAAAAAAAAAAAAAAAAAAATCACAAATTTGGCATCACTCACAAACTTGGCGTTGTGAACCAGCCAACAATAATTTAAGAAGTATAACTTCATGAAATGTGAGTTTTTTTATTCTGTACTGTTGGGCAAAATGCCACATTTCTGAAGAAATATGCTTTCTTTTTTTATCAAATGGCAAATTCCACATTCCTATTGTGATTATTTACAAGGAATATATATATATATATATTCAAATATAGCAAAAATGAACACTAATCAGAAAATTGGCTATTGAAAGCAAAAATATTTCTTGTCTGTGTGCATTTACCTGGAATGCTATTTAAATTCACGTGTACTTTTTCTATATTGTAAATAAAGGCAGTTTTGACATCAAATTATTTAAGGTGTAGATTTTCATCTGCTGTAATTGTGAGCACTTGATGTACATAATCGTATTGTAGTATGCAGAAAACCTAAAAATTCCATCATAACCAGTAGGTGTTTTGCTGGTAACCTTGCCGAGTATTATCGCTGGATATATCTGTTTTGAATCATGGAATTTTCTAAGTGATAACAGGTAGTTTCTGCAGTGCTATGCTCCTGTAGATTAATGTCTTAAGCAAAAACTTCGTGTTTTCTTTAAAACTATCAGTTGGCAAAATTCTGGTGTAAATTAAAAAAAGGGACATTTCAAAACCTGTGCACTGAATATCTCTGTTTTTAAGGACAAGCTATGATGCACATGTGGTTTGATTCGGTTAACCTTTTCAATATAGTCTGCATCTTATTTCTGTCCAGCACATAGTAACATCAGCTAGGTTCTACTTTTGATTTCCTTCATATATTTTTCATCTACCTGCTATATTTCAACTTAAGAACTGTTTTTGCTTAAAACGCTCCTGTAAAATCTTTAAACGGTTTCATTAGATATGATGTTTAAAATTGTGTGTTGTGATTTTATTCAAGTTCCTTGTTATTTCGTGTATTTGCTAAGTAAGAGTAAAAGATCAGTTCTAACATTTCAATATATATGCTATTTCTGTTAAATCATTGACAGTTATAAAAGACCTTAAAAAATTAGTAGAATTTTGATATTTAATTCTGATAAGATATCAGTAATATATGAGCATTCAACAGTCCTCTATTGTTGAAAAATGTCTGGCAAAAACAATCTAGAAAACTTTATTAGTCTCCTCTGATTATTATAGGACACATGTATGAATGCTTAGATATACATATTTATATATATGTTAATAAAACACAAATTGGTTTGTTTCTCTTAGCTTATTATAGCTTTAACTATTGTAGCTATGTTTATTGTAGTTTTAACTACAAAATAGAAAAGCATTGAAATTCATAAATTCTGCTGATAATATAGTCTTTAACTGAAAGCAGAATTATAAGCAAGCACTATTAATTTAAGTTTTTGAATATTAGATTGAGAAGGAATTTTTATTTTTGTTATAATAATGGAAAAAAATTTTTTTAATGTGATATATTGTAATAAATTCACTTTTACTAGTATGCAATATAATTTGCACATTCACTGGTCATATTAAAATAAAAATTATCTCATCATAATGAACATTTTTCAAATATTTCATCGAATTCTTTGGAAAAAAAGTTATATTGGGTAATCATATCTCAATTAATATATCCACTAATTTCTAAGAATTTTTCAGAATATTTTCTAATTTAATAATTTTTATGCAAAATGCATTTTTTATACAAAATTTGCATTCTTTTAGAGATGTAAAAAAGAATACTAATTCAGCACTTTAAAATCAATAAAAAAGCTGACTGTTAGCCAACGTGTGGGTTACCATTTGAAGTTGCCCACTTACTGCCATCAAAAACTAGTTGTCTCATTTTGTTTTTTGAATTATCCATTGTTTGATACTAGATTTGATGGTTGATCAATGTGTTAATGATGCAAGAGCTATTTTGATTAAATAATTTATGAATTCATAGTAGTCCTTTTAACTAATCTAATAACATAGCAGTATAATTAAAGAAAATAATATTGTATTAAACTTACTATTTGCAAAAAAAATGTAATAGTTTATCATTATTATTAGTTTCCTACTCACATTTTATAAAACGATCGTAAGTTTCCTGATTGGCAGTTTTTGAATATATGTGTTGTCAAGATTTAAACAAGAAATGTCATAAGAACAAAAATATCCACCTTCAAATATGCTGTTACATTCATTCTATTAAAATAAATTTTATTTATCTTATTTTCAATTTTTTTTTATGGTGAGTATTGTTGTTTTGTTAAATTGTGTTTCAATATATTCAAACCTGTATCAGTTTTCTTTGTAAAATTCACTTTACAGACATTTACTCATATGAAATTAACAGGTATGCATTTCTTAAAATTATTCTTCATTATATGAATTGCATTTACAAAATTTCTCATTCTGCTATAGTTGGTACCTATGCATACAACAGAAGTAGGAGTCACTATGTTTAAAGCAGAAGCGTTGCAGTGTCGAGTCAGCCTAAATCCTCAAACTCTCCAGTCTCTGCATTTAAAACTTACCCCTAATCCAGAGTACAAAGATCAGTGGACCACAGAAGAGCTTCAAGTTATTGAAAGATATTTTGATGCAAAGGTGAGATATGGCAACATAATGTAGGCCATAAATTTCTTCTTTCCCTATACTTTTTTGTGCTGTAATAGGTATATGTGTGCATGATATTAACTGATGTGCCTCTTAATGTTTTGCTGGCATTTAATTTTTGTAAATTTTAGATAAATAGCCAAGTTCTGTATTCACCTAACTGTAAGATGAGCTCACATTAAGAGTACTGTATATCTGTTTAATTTGTATTACTAAGAGTAGTGGTATGTATAATGGTCTTATGCAGTGAGAACTTGATGTATTGAAAATGTACTTCAGAGAATTAAATAATCAAATACTATATCATACATTAAAGTATTTTTTCTGTAACATTAAAGGTGAAATACTAAATTATTTTAATATGTTTCTCAACTATTAGAATATTTATTAGTACAAGTTTGGATTTCACAGGAGGAGTTGGAGTAGTGAACATACATGCCCACACCCACATTTACTCACTCAGATGCTTGATTATGGAAGTTTTGGGATACTTACGTACTTTGCTTTCTTGGGACATTGTTTTACCCTGGCAATGTGGCATGACAATGGCTGTTCAGATTGGTTATTATAATATATATTAGAAAGATGTTGCTTTCTGAATGGCCATCCAGATATGTTTAGTTATATAAGTGTTATATCATGTATATGATGCAATCTTTTGAATATATTTCATAAGTGTTCCAGTGGATTCACATCTGCTGAATTTGTTGGTCAGATCATATGTTGAAATTATGGAGAATGCTCTGAAACCAGTCTAGAACAATCTTAGTACAAAAGATATTTACACATTTTTAACAATTTTGGTAAAGAATTAAGAAAATGCAAATATTTTGGAATACAAATTTATGGCAACAATTTATTATTTGAACTGAGAAATATTGTGTGCTACTTTTGAATTTATTCTTCCTTCAAAATATGTTATGTAAACAAGCTGTGGAATAAAGGATATGCTTTTTCACTTTTCGAAGAGAAACATTCCTTTTCTGTAATTCAGAAATAATGTTAAAATTTAAAAGTGCAAAATAAGCAACATTATTAATTGGAAAGGGATAACTATCAATCATTACTTTTACTTAAAAAGAAACAAATATTTAAAAAAGGCACATACAGACAAATGCTTGAAAAAGGCACATACTGTTTTTAAGATTTCTAAAGTTGAATCATTGGTGTAACAAGAGGCAGTCTACTGAAGCAGAAATCAGTTGCTTAAAATACATCTGTAGCAACAGTAAATAAAATAATAAACCAAGATTTACAACATAAACAAGTTAAAAACATAATGTTCACCAGCTTTTATCAAGGCATGGAGCTCAATGCAGAAAAATTTGTAGAACCCATGTGTGAAAGCTGTTTAGCAGGAAAAACGTTGAAGGAATCAGGATTGTAGGATTGAAGTTCCTGGACTGAGTCTATAACATAAAATTTTTTGAATTAGTGTGACTTAATGCTTTTGTGTTACTACGTTCTTCCCCTTTTCTAAAAGTGGTTTGTCCCAAATCACATGGTTGAAAGCTCTCAGCTACAGCATTTTTTGTAGGCAGGTGCATTTAGTAACCGGCAATAGAAGGAAATGGCGTCAGTTGAGCAGAGAATCAATATCAACTTTTGTGTTTGCTTGGGAAAGAGTGCTACGGAGACTTTCGAAATGTTGAAGCATGTGTATGAAAGTGAAACATTATCGAAAAGCTTTTGAGTGGCATCATCGTTTCAGAGAGGGGATGGCCAAGTGTTCGTCGTCTTTGGCACTTTCCCTGGCCCTTAAAGTGCCAAAGGCGACGAACACTTGGCCATCCCATGACTTCATGCACTGATGGAAACATCAAAAAGGTGTTTGTGGCAGTACGTGTGAACAGGCAGCAAACAATTTGCCAAATAGTAGAATCAGTTGGGATATCAGAGGCCACATGTCGGCAGACACTGCATAGGGTGTGTGTCAACACATCGTTCCCCACATGTTAAGCGAAAAGGGAATTCAAACAGAAATGGTTGGAGACTTAATCTCAGCTGTTGACAAAGATCCTTCCCTGTTTGGCAGAATTGTTACTGGAGACGAGAAATGGTGTTTTTGGTACGACCCGCAAACCAAGAGAGCATTGGCAACGTCAAAATCTCCACGGAAGCAGAAATTCCGCCAAGATCACTCTAAAGGAAAAGTCATGCTAGAGGTATCCTTCGATATCCAGGGCATTGTGCATCTGGAATTTATCCCTGAAGGACGCACTGTGAACAAAGGACTCTATATTGAAAACCTGCATTGGGCATATCTCAGAAGAAGGACCAAAATGTTACTGAGCAATCATGGGTGCTGTTGCATGACAACGCTCCTGCTCACCGATTCCTACTCGGCAATGACTTTCTTGTGAAAGCGAAAACAACTGTTTTCGCATCATCCTCCTACTCCTGACTCGCACCTGCAATTTCTCCTTTTTACTAACGCAACATAGTGTCATCGATTTAAATCTTCAGATGAAGTTAAATGTGCATCGCAGGCTGAATTAAAGGACATGGCCAAAAATGGATTCCAGACATGTTGCAATGCACTTTACAGGCGCTGGCAAAAATGTGTTGTTGCACAAGAGTTTTATTTGGAAGGAGAATGTGTTTCTGCAATTTAATTCATAATATCTTTTACTTTATTGACTCAGTCCGTGAATTTTTTAATCCTACCTGGATAATGGAAATATATTGTAACCCTTGATTGAAGCATGAATTGGCCTAAATGACTGCAACAAAAAAAGGTGTATGTATTATTGAAAACAAAGAGAAAAAGTTATCAAGTTATTGTTAGCCTGCTTCCATCAGTGCAAAGAAAGTTTTAGTAAGGGGTTTATAATTGTCACAGGATTCTGTTACAATGGAAAGTTAAAAATTAGAATAGTGGAAAAAAAATATTAAAATCAATTCAATGTATTATCAAGAGAAAGTTTCATGTCCAGTATTTACAGAAGAAATTTTCTTTGTCCCAGTGAAAAAGTGAAACTTCATCAAGATAAAGCAACAAGCCATACTTCGAAAAGTATTACTGCATTCCTTGAAAAAATGAAGTCTGATACAGGCATTGCATACATATCCCAGTAACTTTCAAAGAGTGAAACTTCATCAGGACAAAGCAACAAGTCATACTTTGAAAAGTACCACTACATTCCATGAAAAAGTGAAGACTGATATTGTTACTGCATGTATACCTTTTTAATGTATTCCTGTGAAGTCTTTGATGTTTCACCTATGGAATATCGTGGCTTTGATCTCGTGAAAAGAGCTGTTTCTAAGTGCAAACCCACCGTGATTGATACACTCTGGAAAGTAATGGATGGGGAAGGGAAATCAGTATGCCTTTAAATATTCTGAAACATCCTTCTGTGATGGAAATAACGAAGCAGACTTATAGTTAAAAAAAAAAGGCTACCAAATCAGACACAAAAAAAAAAAAAAAAAAAAAAAAAAAAAAAAAACATACATTTTTAAACATTAATTACACAGCCTCGAAACTGTTCTAAAAATACTCTCTGTGTAGTAAGCACACTTTGCATAATGGCATGCATTGTAATCCCATCATTCTTGGGTTTTTATGAATGATTATAAATTATCATTAAGCAACTTGACATAGCATTAGCCATTTAATAAAATGTGTATCCAGATCAGAGATACATTACACCCGACTCTTGTCGTCGTCTTAGAATCATTGCATCTAATTTGAGCTTGCTATTTTTTCCCTATCCTGTGGGGCATCAATGTCTTCATAAACCTATGCAGCATGTTTTGTCCAGTTACTTGCTGTTGGTGGGATAGTATGGTAAGTTTTCTGCTGCCATAGCCTGTTAATGTAAATACATGGTTTGTATACCTTAAGAATCCATAAAAAGTTCTTAGTTCCCCCCCCCTTAAAAGTCCTTAATTTCGGCCAAATTGGGCAGGAGGTTCTTAATATTAATCTTTGAAATTTCTGTCTGTTTTTATGACTGCTATTTTGAATGTGAATTAGCATTTTGGACAAATATTTTTGGTGATTCATTGATAAATATAGTTATCTTTTGAATAGGTGAATAGGTTCATGGGATTATAATTTGTTCTTATTTCTAATATAAAGGGTGGGATCCTCAAGTTCTTGAGTAAAAGTGAAACATAACATTTCAGAATTATTTCATTTTTTCTAATGAAGAGCTCTTAAACAACTTTTCACTTTGGGGAATGTGAATTCTTTATTAAACGATTCCAAATTTGGCAACTTATTAAAGTTTTGGCAGTTTAAATAAGGAGATTTATTTAAACCTTTACCTGACTCTGTAGTTACTTTCAAACATAGCGATAATTTGCTTCACATCTTTCAGGGTTTTGGACTATTTAACTTTAATCAGATCAAGTCGAGAGATTGACAAGTTAGGACATAAACACACAGAAACTTGTGGGAATATTGGTTTGCGAAATGAAACAAATTTCTATTTGTTAGAAAATTTGCTTAAAGAGAAGGAAGTTGATATAAATTAGCCAGAATGTCTGGTAAGGCTTCAAATTAAAAAGATACATAAATATTGAGTATTGTTGCTACAAAACGTAAATGTTTTGTAGCTTTTAATGTGTAGTTATCTTAATATCGTTTAAGAATTATGTCAAATACTTATTTTAAACTGTGACTGTAATAGATTGCAATTTTATAGTGTTTTTTTTAACAAATATTTTTAAAAAAAGTGTATAGTGCCATGTAATCGGTATGACTAAGTATCTTCTATCATTTATTATTTTAGCACGGCCCTACTCTGCATATTGCCTTCATTCATCTTGCTGTGCTCACAATATGCGCAAAAATGTAAAATATGTAAAACTTATTCTTCACATTAGTGAGACTTACAATCTATGCACACACACACACCGCATACACCCAAAAAAAAAAAAAAAAAAAACCACTTCTGGTGCTTTAGTGGCTTATTGGAACCTTAAAAAATATGTTAACTGAGTTTCAATCCCAGGAACTACTCTATATGAAGTTATGACACTAACTGCATGAGATAGGTAGAGCACACACAACCTGACTATCTAATCTTGCTAACCGTGCCTACATCTACAACCGGCTTTCAGGTTTGTTTTGATCAGGAGGCCTCTCTCTAGGCAAGCAGCAGTATTGGAAACAGCCAGTCTTCTGTAACAAATTGTGATTTTACTTCTCATTTTAACATATGCTGTTTGACATAAAACCTATCTGCTATTTACTAAACCTCTAAACTGGGCAAGTATGTGACAAAATGAGACATAAAAGGAAAAATCAACATAAGGCTAACCATTAGTAAAACATAAATAAAATGTCACTAATCTTCTTTCAACTGTATCCAACTATTATAAGGGTAAAATATTTAATGCTACTTGATTTTATCAACTTGATTTTATTCTAAAATTTGTTTTATAATTATGTTTAATAATAATGCATTCTACTTGTGGATCTATTTTTATTCTTAGGATGGTATCACAAAGTTCAGGCATAGCTAATATCTTTAAATTGAATTTATTCAGTTCCCATTTGTTGATGGGTCCTTAATTTTTTTCATTAATTGTCCTTAAATGTACTTAATTTCTATGTGCTGAAATGTGTATGAATCCTGAAATAGGATAAGGAAGCAGAAAAATAGTGCAGAGAATATAATTTCTCTGCGCTGATTTCATATGTCCAAAGAGCTCCAATACCCAAATTAAGGGTCTATCTAGCAGACAGGTAGATAGATACATAAATTATCTGGCGAAAAGGTGAAAGAGAACATTCATATACCTTATCTTCTACAGTCAGTAACCTAAAGTTATTAACTGTTTTATATTACATTGGTTAATTTATAGCATGTAAATGAAGTTGATAAAGTTTTAATGTATTATATTTTTGCTAATAGGTTGTTTCAATTCCATACAAGCCCAATGCACTTCTTGCTTTTGGAAGAATTTTGAATGCTCCTCTGAGAATATTCAAAGACTGCATTCACATAATGCATTTAGAAATGGTGAATATGGAATTATTATTTTTGATTATAGTTGATCAAATAGTGCATTAATGTAAGAGTTTAGAACTCAAGTGTCAGTTGTTTTGTGAGGATCTATAATGTATGCAAATGCTTTTCCATTTATTTTCTGTTAATTTTTTTTCATTCACAGGTACCTGATCGTTCACTAAAGTGGGCAATACAGTGGTGTTTAACAATTCCACCTGCAGCTCCACCAATTGCACCTCCAGGCATGTCGGCTGTCGTTATGGCCAAAGATAAAATGTTATTCTTTGTAAGTAACACCATATTTATTTTTTATTTTATTTTTTTTTTAATCTATGAGCTTGGAAAAACATCAAGACATTAATTTTAATTTTTCTTTGAAATAATGATTTTTTTATCATAATTGCTGTAAATATTTTATTTTGTTTCAATATGACAATGAATCTTTTATTCACCTACATTTTTTTTTTTTTTCCTTTTCCTTTTCTCTCTCTCTCTCTCTTTTTTTTTTTTTTTTACAAGAAGGTGTTTTTGCATCCGAAAATTCTCTTAAGTATACCTAATTCTGTTTTTGCATTAATCTTTTTTACATGAATAGTTTGTTGCATGTTTGTCTTTTTTGCATGAATCTTTTTTACATTAAGTAAATAGCTTATTTTTTTTAACATGAATGAGCCAAATCAATTTCCAAGAATTTTGTTGTGTGCATGTGTGTGTTTGGGGGAGAAAGCTAATTTTAAGAACAATTTTTATTTTTGGCATAAAAGCTCACGCTGACATGACTAGATTGCATAGCAGCTAATGGAGCAGAATAAAGCATACTTCTAAGTAGCAAGTCACGTGACTAAATGCATTAATATTCTTTTTCTGTTATTTCCAGGCTGTGTGTATTTGGCATTTAAACTGATGTTTTGTATCTTTGGAAGATATGTGGGAATTTAGTTATTTAGTAAAGAATGCCAAACAGAATGTATGTAGCCAAATTGCAGAAAGTAAAGTGGTTTGGTCATAATGTGTAAATAATAAAGATCTCATCATCCATAATACGGATTTTCCAGCATCATTTACAGTGACACATAGTTCGTGGAAAAGGATTCGATGATCTGTTGTTTGAAGTATTGTGATTGATTTTATTTTGAAGTATTATTTTGAAGTATTGTGATTGTGCATTGTGATTGATTTTATTTTGAAGTATTGTTTGAAGTATTGTGATTGTGCATTGTGATTGATTTTTAGAACACTATTATTGTCATTTATGGGCTAAATAAATTACAAGACTATTATCTCCTTTTTATGCGAGTAGTATTTTTCTAAATTGTATTTTCTGTTTTAGATTCTAAGAAATTTGTTCTGTATTATAGTAATTTTTAATGAAATTTATATTTTTAAGTAATTGGTTGAGAAATAAATTTATGTATTATTTTGTTATCCAGTTTATTTGAAAGAAGAAGATTTATTTAGGGATGCTTATTATCTGAAATCCATTAATGATTGCTAGGCATTCTGTTGCAAAATAAATCATACTGTATTGGACTTTAAACAGACAACTAATCTGTGTAAAGATAAATTTGACAAATTTGCTCATAAACAGGGTATTTTAAAATGATGGCTTGGTGATGTTCCTATCATCTTTGAATATAGCAATAATGTAGAAGTTGGGGCACCAAATAAATATGGGAGGGATTAAGGCTGCAATTAATAGTTTAAAATTTAAAAAAGCTTCTGGACACAATCTTATTTTAATGGAACTATTAAAGAATTGTAGAGCTATTTTGTTAAATATCCCAACACATATTTGAATTAATTACTGACATTTGGAACTTTAGAGATTGTGCTGAATGGAATATTAGTATTGTATGTTCACTCCACAAAAAAGGAGATCCGATGATTTGTACTAATTATCGAGTCATTACTTTGTTGTATATTATAAATTTTGTGCAGAATTTTGTTGTTAAAACCATTGCTTTTCCTTTGTTAAAGATTTTCAAAGTAGATTTTGGGCTGGAGCCAAGTACACTGCAGGGCATTAAAACTGCAACACCAGGAAGGATTGATATATTGAATTTCAAAATCACAAGGAAAAAGAGGTTGCAATATGCAACTGATTAGTATTTCAGCGCATTTAGATGACACAGGAAGGAGAAACGACATCTGAAGCACTACATAAAAGAAAAGTTGTGTAGTGGATTTCTCATTCGGAGAGCACTTTGTAAGGTCGGAGTTTGCTCATAGTATCATGCTATGCCTCAAATAAGAAGAAGAAATGCTTACCTGCAAGTATCAAAATTCAATAGAGGCAAGATTGTTGCGTATTGAGAGTGGGGATTACCGTTCCCTGATATTGCTCGTCGCACTGGTCGACATCCAACCACTGTCATGCAAATGTGGAATCAGTGGGGTGCTAAGGGTCATACAGAATCTCAGCACCTTCCCATGATTAAAGCCCAAGAGGACAGACATATTGTGAGGTCAGCCCTGCAAAACCCTACCACATCACGGACCATTAGTCAGGAAATGGGCATGTTTGTAGCATGCCCAGTATCCGCTGGTATCGTGTGTCGACATTTGCAACAGTGTGGACTATCAGTACCATGACCATTAATTCGGCTTCCTTTGACAGTGTAGCATTAATTTACAGAATCTTGTCTAAAATCAAATTATTTTCTGCTTTGAGTAAGAGAATGAACTTTTTAATACAGAGTGAGTGCTTCTACAAAATTTTTAGTACTAGTACTTTTAACAAATTTAAGCAAACAAACCAGATAAATCACAATGCTTAATATATTATGCCTCAACTTATTGTTTGTTTACAGACAGAATTTTCTGTCCAATGAATCATCTGCTTCGATCCAGTGAACATGTGCTATCATTAATTAGAAAGCTAAGCAAAGATTATCATTAATTAGAAAGCTAAGCAAAGATTAGCAATAAAATTTTACTGTAAAGTGTAGGGGGGGGGTTAAAAAGACACATTTTGACTGGACGCTAAACTTCGTGTTTTGCTTATGATCTTAAGATAAAAGGACTCACCAAGGCCGCAAAACCTTCAGTATTAATGAGTATATAGATGAGTATATAGATGAACGTTTTTTGAGGGATAATTCATAAAGAATTTGTCCATTTATAAAGTATGATGAACTCTACTTTATAAAGATAGAATGGGCTGATCTGTGAAGAGAATTCAGTATATTAGGCTTTAAAAAGCTCAATATTCTTCTCAAGTAGTTTCTAACAGAGAGTGGTATTTCAGTTATCAATTACTTCTTCCCTCTTGTTCAATTTTGATGTATGCTGTTCTATTTTCTATGTAAATGTCTCTCCTCCAATGTCTCTATTTTAAGAGCATTAAAAGAATTCATACAAATATAATCAGAGACTCAAAAATAAAATGAGTTCTGTGAAGGTATCAAGGCCAACTTACAAAGATTGTATTTTGAAGGGTGTAAGAGTGCTGTTTTCTTCAACTTTCGATTTTATACAAACTTTGTTCTAAACATTTATAGATGCACTGTATATTTTTTACAGTCCAGTTTTCAGGTGAAAGAATCTGTTACAGAATTTGATAGTCTTTTCTATTTCATTTTAGGCCCAGCTAACCAGAATTGGCCTTAACTTAGCACCTGGTGTTGAGCCACAGACTGTTGTGTTTGCAGCTGTTCATGACATCAAAGTCAATACAACCATAGTACCTGACAATCGTCGAGATACTATGCCCATATCTGCCACAGATCCTGTATATATTATTACTACTATGTTAAAAAGATTTGCTGAGTATAATCCAAATCTAAGTAAGCTCTTGTTGATATACTTATGTATATTTTTTTTATCAGTTTATTTCTTACTTATCCTCTTATGCCATTTTTCTTTATTAATTAATTTTTCATTTTTAAATTCTAGGTGAATGTAGTATATACCCAGCAATCAGAGAACTGTTAACAAACTTAGTAATACCTATTTAAAAAAGGACTGAATGCAGTTTACTAATGGTATCTACAGATTTATTACTTTATGCAGAGAAACCCTGCTTTTTTATGCTATTCAGATTTTAATAACAATACTATGTACACAGCCTATAATGTAAAATAAAATGTGTAGATTTGTTTTTAAGTGTTTTTTTATTGAAGTAAGTTATGACTGAATATGAAGAAGACTTTGAAGAAATTTACTATGTATTTAAATCAGCGGTCGGCAACTGGTGGTCCATAGACCACTGGTGATCAGTGAAAACTTTTTGATGGTCATAAAAAAATTGGGACATTATTTATATTTTAATTAAGATTCAGTTTAAAAACTGACAAGTAGCAAAACCTTTTATGGAATATGGATAATATTTTTTTTTTTTTTAGCTACTTTTGCAGGTGTATCTAGCAACATTTGAAAGAATGAGAGTTGGCATCCATAGATATGCTGCTGTTATCAATAATAGCACAGACTGCTATTCTCTTTCCTTTTGAATTACAAACATATGCTTATTGCAGTTGTTCATAACACAGTCTTTCTGTGTGTCAACAGGCAACATGATAGATTTTTATGAGGACCATCTGCATATAATTGCATCACTGGAAGTTTCCATTTTTGCTTTGTCTAACTGTTGATTGATATCGCCATTGCTGAGTAAGCGATGATTATTATGTTTACAATAATAAAAAATTGGCAACTTAATACTTTCAGTTTATTGATATTGCTTTGTGTTTGCCGGTTTGTTCTTGCTTTTCATGAAGTTCCTTTTCAATGATATGGAAATGTGAAGCTTTCTGTACAAGAAGGTAAGATTTTTGTACTTTTCATATAATTTTTCAATGTGAATGAAATATGTGTATCAGTGAGATGTTAATAGTGTTTTAATTATTACTCATAATCAGGGGCGTATTCTGAATTTCCATAAAGGCATGCTGCTAAACGCCAAATGTTTCGAAAATTATATTAACAAATAAAAATTAGAATTACAAATATTGGAAAGTTAAATATTGTTTTTGTGTATTAATATGTTGTTTTTAAGGTCTGATTTAAGGGGTTGTTTTTTTTTTAAATTCATGTTAGTGGTCCGCCAAATATAAAATTATATATGTAGTGGTCCGTGAAGTTCTAAGGGTTGACGACCACTAATTTAAATACTGACTTACAAATCAAGTTAAATTTCAAATTTAGTTATTTAGTGTTTGTTTCCTGTTGCTACTTAAACATAATATGCTTATAGTTTTGCAGTTTTGAGATTAAAATGGAAAAATTTTGCATTGTAATTTATTAAGGCATGTTTAAAATGAAGTTGTTAGCACTTTAAATTGAAATTTTTGCTTTAATGCTTGGAATTAGTGGAATGTAGGTCATAAGGAGATTCAATCTGAATGAAGTGTGTGGTGTAATATCCAGCTGTTAGATGGTGAATAGAATTTTTACTTATTTGCCTAAATGAAACAAAATTGTTTTTTGCTTTTTAGCCATTGTGTAGAAAGACAGATTTTGTAATTAACATTATTTTAAAATTTATATCTTATACTATATTAATATCTGACTACAAACATTCACTTAGCACAGAAAGATCATTATATTATAATTAATTAAATTGATAATGTAGAAACTTGCAAGTGGATGACAATTCATTTTGATTTTTTTTCCAGTCCCCTCCAATCTTTAAAATAATGCTACAGGATACTAGGCTACTGAATATAACTTTTTACTGTTTTCATTGCTGAATATCAATTTGTATTGTTATCACTGTTAAATAATTCTTAATTGTCAAATTATTGTATTTCATATAGTTTTCAAAATGGTAATCACAGAATTCCATATGGTGACAAAGAATTAGTAGGTGATTTCTTCATTATTTTGGTGCTTTCAATTAGGTAACTTACATTCGCAATTGTGAATTAAGCATCCCTGTGTTTTATTTAAGATTCTGGAATTTACATTAATTACACCTTGTTCTATTGTGTTTTTTATTTTTAGTTATGTTTGCTCAGTGTTAGATTTTATTTTCCGAATCTGATTTAATTTCTTCTTCTGGTGATTCTATTTTTAGTTATGTTTGCTCATTGTTAGATTTTATTTTCTGAATCTGACTTAATTTCTTCTTTTAGTGATTCTTCTTCACTATGGATTTTAGAGCTACTTTCTTCAGTTTCACTATCAGTTGAAAAAATTTTATTGTCTTCATCATTTTTATCAGCTTCAGTATCAATTATGTCTTCCTTTATAATTATATTGGTTTCATTTTCAGTGATGTGGTTTTCAGTTTCATTGTGGATGACATTTTCCTTTTCAGTTTCAACTTTTGCTGTATAATCCACACTTTCTTTTTCATCTCCCAGTTCAACAGTATCTGTGCTGTCCTTATTGTACTTTTTGTTTCTATTATCATCCAGAATTTCTTTTTCAGTAAATTGTAATAGTTCACTGTTATCTGCAAGTTTCTTTTCAGTTTCAAGATCTGCAGCTTCTGTGTGATTTACATTTTCATTTTCAGTTACTAAGTCAGCTTTCACACTTTCCTTATGGATTACTAAGTCATTCTTTTTATCATCTACTTTTTCCTTCTCGTTTCCAATTTCAGCAATGTATTCTTTCTCTTCTATGTTCTCATCATCAAGATTTATTTGAGTTTTATTCTCATCTGCAATTATTTCTTTTTCAGCTGCAGTTTCATCATCATCTGTATTTTCTGTTTTGGTTACTGGCTTCACTTGCGTTTCGCTTTCATTGACAGTTTCTTTTTCAACTGGGATTTCAGTCTCATCCATAAATTCTTTTTTACTTTCAGGTGGAATAATTTCTACATCTGTTATTTTGCTGTCAATTAACTTTTCCTCTCCGAGTTCATCTTCTGTTTCTACCCTCTTAGTTTTTTCAGTTATAATTTCTTCCTTCTGTGCTTCCTGTTCAACAATTTTATCTTCTATCATTTCTGTTTTCTCTATTTCTGTAGATGGCAGTTTTGTAAATGGCTTATCTTCATTATCATCCTCACCTATGGTAGGCAATCCTACTAGCTGTTGTTCCTTATCATCTTTTTTCTCTTCTATCTTTCCAATGGCTTTGTCAAGTAGCTCATACCATTCATCAATTGTCTGAAAATAATAATGATTTATGTGAAAGGAATATTTTAATTCATTTGAATGCTACTTATGGAAGTTTGTAACACTGATAAAACATGCAATGTGTATAATAGATTACATAAAATTTACAGGTTTTGTATGATCCTTAAAAGTCCTTTTTGACCAAAACCAGCAAAAGGTCCTTAATTTTACTCATCTGACATTTTTACGATTGCCATTTTGAGTTTGAATTAACATTTTGGAGAAATAATTTTTGGCAATAAATTGGCAAATATGTATTTGATAGGTTTAATGTTTGAATTCTTTCCTACTTCATAATGGTATATACTCAAGACCTTGCTTTGATTGAAACATAAACACTTCAGAGTAATTGCTTGTTTTTTCATAGAAACTCGAATTTTAATATTAAAAAGTGTTTTTTAATTGCTTTAACTGTATTTAGTGTTTTATGTTTTTCTATATTTTTCAATTTCCTATGAAGATATTTTGAGTTTTTTATGTATTTTTGCCTTGCCATGAAATGAGAGCTGAATTAATTGAATGAGGAAATATATCTCTAATAAAATTCGAGGAAATAAGTTTAAATAAAATGCACCAAAAAATTTGTATAATTTATTTAATAGGCCATACAAGGAAGCCATGGCGTCCACATCCAATTTTTTATTTTTCATGTTAAGAGTTTTCCCTGTGTAACAGATTTTAAAATATTTAAATGTTTTTCAGTTTTCTCTTGAAAATTAATTTTACAACTCATTTTTCTGAATATTTTTTAAAAACATTTGCTGGCTTTTTCCTGGCTCTTACAGAAAGAGAGCCAGGAAATGTTTCTTACAGAGTTGGTAGGGATAATTTTTCTTTTGGATTTTAGACGCTGTACCTCAGAAGGTCTAAAGGCAAGATTTATAGATTATTATTTTGAAGGCAAGGTTTATAGACCAACAATTTCTAGAAAAATTTTTTGAAACGAAAACTGTCTTCATGATGTTATCATGTAATGGATATGTTTTATAGGTAATTTGTAATGTAATACTCTTCTTTTGGAAAATTTTTAGAACTTTGAAAAGACAATTATTTGAATTTTCTCCTTTTGATCCCAGAAAATTTCTCTCATGTTTCTCTTCCCTTTATTTTCTTATCCTTCCACTATACACAAGCATTAAAGTAGTCAAAGAAAGCAAAGAAATTGAAATCTGATAAATTATTAAAAGATTCATTGTACAGTCAAAAGTCGTTAATCCAGACTCATCGGGACTTCGGCGATTCCGGATTATAGATCATCAGTTTAAATCTGGTAAGATGGCATGCAGAAATTGTAAAATTAAAAATATGAAACCATAATTTATGAAATAAAGAACAATTATGATCTAATAGGTATCAAAAATTTACAAAAAAAAAAAAAAAAAAAAAAAAAAAAAAAGCTTAATATTTATTTGTTTACTTTATTAAACATTTTTTCAATGTAAGTTGTTTAAGTTGCTTCGTTCTATGTAATAATACTTTCTTTTTAATTCTATAAACAGACATAATTTCTTGTTCAGTTACTAAGTTCCGCTGTTCAAGTCTTATAATTACTGTGTCAAAAATACTGACTAATTTGTAAATCAAAATTTTTTCATTTTCAATAACCTCTGTGTCACTTTCTTCACTATCGGAAGCGAATTATAATGATGAGGAATTTGATTTAAATTATATCAAAGGCAGAGTACATCAAGATGAAATACTACATTTAGTAAGGAAGCCAAATAAAATAAAAACATATGCCCTGAAGATAAGGATAGTGCTGACAGATCAACTTCCAATTCATTGCGTGCTGTGGTGTCCCCCCCCTTTATCCATTTTTTGCAGCAATTCCACTTTTTGTTTGATGGACATCGAAACATACTTTTGCTTTGGCAGCTCCAGCATCGGAAATTCTATTTGACATAATCGAAAGTTCAAGCTTACTTTTATAAAATTGCTCTAACAGTCTGCAAAAAATAATAAGCCGGATCAATTCAAAGATTAAGGAACAACGCAATCTGCAACATTAACTGAAATAGATAATTAGATAATTTT